AAGCAAAACCCTTCTTTGGCCAGAAGCACGACGTCCTTGACACCAAAAACTCCTTCCCGCGCGACTTGATGCAACCTATCAGTTCCTGTACATCGGACAGATCAACAAACTCCTTGAGGACCCGTTGTTGTCTGTTGATTATGTATGCCAACTTGAGCTTCCTCACCCTCCCCACCTCCAACCGCTGGATGTAGGCCATCATGAAACGCTCTGGCTCGTCCTCAAGCCTCTCGTCATTGTGTATCTCGTACGGCATGAAGAACATTACTTTGCCAAAGTATGAGACATCGTTGTCCCCATCGCCGGTCAATATGTACCTGACACAGGAGTCATCCCTGCGGGACGAACAGACACCAGGCTTTGGGTTGGAGATGGCCGATCCTACCACCTCATGCTCGCTGCTATTGCTCAAAACTCTTCCCGCAACTGCCCTACCCCAGAGCTTGAATATGCCGCTGAACAGCATTGGATTCCCAACAATCTCTCTCGACCTCACTGGCACACCTATCACGTCAGCGTGGAACTGCCTCAGGTGGTTCCGCTCGTACTGATTCAACCGGCGGGAGATCTTGGGGCCCATCAAGAGGCAGTCCGGGTACTCTGCTGGATAGGCAACCTTGTCCTTCTCTCCCAGTCCAAACAGACGTCTCTCGGCGGTCTCACTAAAGCCAGGCGGCACCTGTTCACATCAGTAACAGCAACAGCACAGCCACTCTGCTCTCACACTCTCGCATACTTACCAAAGCAATCAAAGGCAGGTACCTGAGCCTCTCCCGCTCAAGCAGCTGCAATGAAAGATTACGATTAGCAGACGAACGGCTGTGGCACATTGCCTTGATCGTTCCACATGTCCTCTCCATTGGGTACTGGTGGTATATCGGATTCGGGCCGCAGACCTTCATGGCCATGCCCAGGTGCAGCAGCCCATGCACCTGCGTGGTGCAGCCACGGATCTTGGAGAGCTTGTACTGATAGTATAGACGCTCATACCCCGTCACAACCTGAACCATGTCTCGCTCCATCTCAGCGACGTCCTCCATGCTCAGCTGGTACCGCCGGGCCTTCTCGCTGGCTAGTACAAAGTGGTGCCAGTGGCTATAGTACTCGGCAGGCAGCCGTTGGTTGAGCACAATGGGGGATATCAGATGCATGAAGTTCATCAGCTCTGTAGCCTTGTAGCTTGCGTGGTACTTGATATCCCGGAATGCCTTGCCAAACGCACTTGGTATCGACGCCCTTGAGCCCGCAATTTCCTCCCCAATCCTGTCCCACATTCTTTTGGGTAAGATAAACGCATCCTCCACGTAGTCCTCTTCTATATCAGCATTAAAGCTAACCCCCCGCCTGCCCTTGCGACGTTTCCTCCGCTCACCCTGGGTCTGGCTCTGAGAGCCACCCTGCTGTGTGTTTGTCTGGCTATCAAATTGAGACTCTTGCTGCACCTCCACTTGTGACTGGCTCATGCCCTCGGATTGGGCATGCGATGATCCAACCTGCGAAGCATCAACCTCGGCCTGGGCCATCTTTGCGCGGAGCGCTAGTTCCCTGTCCCGGAACACCCCCATCCATTGCGCCAGGTATAACCTAGGCGTGTTTTCATCAACCAGATGCATAACGTCCGGCGTGAACGTCCAAGGGTACACCACCGACACGAGGGAGCTAAAGACAGGCTCTCCATTGGTCCCCATCATCTTGCCCCATTGCAGGTCCATTGTCTCCTCCACCATTTTCTGGTTTTCGCGCACTTGTGCGTCGGTCCAAATCGGGAGATTCTCTGCATCCCACGACTTTTCGGGGAAATTTGCATTCCTCTTTGGAACCCTACTCCCCTTGCGCCTAGCCTCCCCCCCCAGAGCGTCCTTACGGTCACGTGGGGGTTCCAGAGGACAATATATGTGTCCCTCGCTGATACCATAGATGGCACAGAAGCGACAGTACCGAAAGCTATTAGGACCAGTCCATTTCATCAATTTGGCCATTGCAACCGTATCTCCTGCCACTAGGGCTATGTTAGCGCGCAGTATAAATCTCTCCTTTCGCAGCCCGTCCCAAGCCTTTACCCCCACCTGCAGTGTGAGGAATTCATCAATCATTGGCTTCAAGAAGGACCCCAGGTCCTTGGGATTGCCAGGCCCTGGTATTATGCCGCACAGAATTAGGTTTTTTTTCAGGACCCTCTCAGACGGCGGCAGGTTGCAGTTGATTAGCAGCAGGGGCCAGACATCGTACTGCCCAATCTATTGATTATTTGTAACACATGAGTCAGCTATGGATTCAATTGAAAAGAGGCAGCAGTAGAGGCGTGTGCCTTAAATAGGGAGAAGCCGTCTGTGCTGAATATGAACCCGACGTCTCTGCTATCGGTCCACAAGCCTCTATTATTCTTGACCATTTTGAACAAAAGACTATCCCAGTAGTCCCGCACTGAGCTCTGTGGCGTCTCCTGGTTTGCAAAAGACTCCTTGTACTCCATCGTAATCTTTACGTACGCAGTGTCTGTATAGAGTAGCAGCAGTCTGTGGATTAGGGGTATATAGTCAAACGTACGGTACGGTTTTCCATTGCTATCCCTTCTTTCTGCATTGCATATGTGGCATCTGTCAGCCCTTGGAAAGGCAACGTAGCAGATGCAATTGTTTCGACACACGTCATACCGAACGTGGTATATCTCTGTAATCACACCGAGCTCTCTCTTCGCTGTTGCCTCGTCTGTCACTGAGACCTCGGAGTTGTCAAAGGCCTGGACAGCTTGGATGTACCTCATGTGTATGTCCTGAGCCACGTTCCCTTCCATCCTGACCTTCATCAGCCGGAGGTGTCTCATCATTGCAGGTTCCAGAACAACGTTCGGAATCATGCTGTATGGGAACTCTGTCAGCACTTCTGGGCCCTCGTCATCGTCATCGTCATCGTCATCGTTATCCTCAACACCGTCTTCTGCTCCACTGCTCTCTGGGTCCTCAGAGCTGGGCACATCCTCGACATCCTCGACATCCTCATAGTATGGATTGGAATAGCTTGGGCTCTGGATACGCTCGTCAATCTCATTATCAGTCTCACTGGGTGCATCAACGTCGTCATCTCTATCAGCATCTATATCAGCATCAACATCGCCATGAATGGATGGAGGAGGTGAGTTATCAGGAATATCATGAGCACTGGACTCGCTGCTGCTAGAGGAGCTAGGATTATCATTCTCCTTCTGGCCTGCCGTATTGGTAGGAACCGGGGTGATGTATGCCATGTTTAGGTCATACTGAGTCGATTCTGTCCGTTGACGGAACAGCGGTGCCTCCTCATCTAAAGGCACATGCCCCTCCTCTTGCCCAACCGTGGAGTGGTGGAAGCTGTGGTTCAATGTACTGATTGTATCTTCTCTCTCTGAGACCACCGACTCTGGTCCAACAGACTCTCCTCTCACAGTTTCCTGGCTTGGTGACTGCTCAGGTTGATGCTCTTGAGAGGCATGGACCTGTACCTACTGCTGCACATGCCCGAGGCGGGGCTGTAGGTTGTAGTTTGTAAAAGGATCCTGTGAATCCATACGTCCGGGATCGTGAAACACAGGTGAAGCTTCTATAAATAAGGCATCCTCAAAGACCGGTGTAGCCTCCGCTGGCTCTGGGCTGTTTTCCTATACCAGAACAGAGTTAATCGAGTTGTGGGTTGAGCTACCATACTATACATGTGTTGTATCGCATATACCTGATCATTAAAGACGGGGGTTCCTGATGGCATGGGCTCACTCTCGGGATAGGAGGCATCAATCTGTATAGGGTCAGGATTATGTAGGTAGAAAATGCACCTTGACCACATGTACTTACTACTTCCCAGTCCAAATCTACTGGCGGAATATCCTCCTGGGTGGCTTGCCGCTCAAGCCATGCCTGCCGCTGCCTGTGTCTGTACCAGATGGTTTTTGTCACAAGGTGGGGTACTCCTCTGTACATCCCACAGTGGCAGAGTCGTCTCTCTCTCGGTGCCCATGGTGCTGGGTTTGCTGCATCCGCCATAATCGTGATTGGTGTGTATAATTTTTTTTTATAAGTATAAAGTGAATATGTAGAATACATGACACGTTGATGGTGGGGTAGATTGGCGGGACGTGAGATCTTGGATGCACGATAGGCGGAGTGGAAGGCCAGATCGACATCTACGGGTGAGCCATATTGCATGAGCCAGGGTAGGTGGGGGTAGATAGTATGGACATATCCTTCTCCATCTTCTCTCCATTCCACCGTAGAAACATCTATCTGTCCCTTTTTTCTATTACACCACACTGTTTATCAAAGGTGAGCATCTGTATCAAGACAGCTACATGTAAATGGTAGATGGTTATATACTGATGGACATGATGGTACAGATGCAGCGGAATATGGCAGACATCACAGAGCCTATTGCTCCAAACACAATGCTAGACATGGAAGAATTCAAGCAATGGAAGGAGCAAAAGGAGATTAAGAGACGTGAGGAACAGCAGAGGCAGGAGAGAGAGCGGCAGCACGAAAAGAGTAAGCAGCAGCAGCAGCAGAAGAGCCAGTCATTTGGCGAGAGGCTTGTTGAAGACACAAGCGGGTCTGATAGCGAGGGGTCAGCCATCGGGGACTTTCCACTCCACGACGAGAAGGCCATCGAGGACCTCCTCGATACTGCTAACAAAGCCCCATTGATCGAACAAATGGGTTTTCGATCATATAAAGAAGACCGGGAAGAATATAATAAAAGGAGAAAGATGGCTGCTGATGCACTGGCTGCAAAGCCTGTACAGTTTATTATTGGGTCGGCGTGGAAGTCGGTCCGAAGTAAGGCAACACGCCAATACCTCATCGACAAAGTCAGAAACGCTCTTGCCAAGTATAACTATAGTGACTCCGTCTGTCTCGCAATCATAATCTCTCTGACCAACAACAAGAGACGTAATAAAAACAGAAGAAAAAATAAAGACATTACCCTCGCCGGTGGTGCGGTGAGGAAGGGAAGACCTCCCACCACCGGCCACTATGTTGGCAGGCGGAGAACAGCAGCACAGAGAGCCACTGCGAGAAATGTGCCTGCTGTCCCTATAGATACAGCAGAACCAAGGGAAGCATCTGGCCCTGCCGCTGCCCAGCAAGACAAGCACCGAGGGCAGCGGTTCCTGCACCTATTGCCCCTCAGCGGGCTACAGCAACAGCAGCAAGCATACAGAAGACATCAAGCACCGGTAAACGTTCTGCCAACAAGGAGACAGTTGACGAAGCTCCACCGGTACACCGCAAGCCTCCACGCAAGAAACCAATGGTCCAGGACTGTGTTACAGCAGAGGATGATGATACCTCTTCTTCTTCTTATGTCTCCGCTGAAGGTTCAATTAGCGTGGGCACAGTGACTAAGGCCGCAACATCTTCGGTGGGGGTGCCGGTGTCAGCTAGGCCACCCATCCCTGTTGGGGCTGCAGTTTCCGTGGCTCAACCTGCTGCTGCACCTCAACTTGAGCGAGTTCCTGCCAATGTTATGACTATCGGTGCTCCCCGTGTGGATGATGATGCCGCACCGCTGTCCCCGTCGGCACATAACCTTGTACATCGTCTGAACTTACCAAGAAAGCAAGTGATGTTGCCACCTCCAAAACCTCCTTCCGCTGCTGCCCCCTATGGTGTCAAGACGCTTGAGATTTACTCCGTACTGGTGGACAAAAAGCACGTCCATTACCAATTCACACTCGACTATGAAGAGTTCCGCAAGAGATGGAAGGGGAAGGATGTATGGTACCGCTTCCCAGGTAAGGGAAAACAGCAGATACTGTTGGATGACGAAAAGCGATACCATCAGTTCCTGACCAGGGTCAAGGAGAATAACGAGGCCCCAACCATGTGGGAGCATTCTGATGCTGACTTCCATGATGATGATGATGATGCCAGTTTCTATTCAAAGCCACCACCACCACCACCACCACCACCACCACCACCACAGCCATCAGTACTGGCCTCAACAGTTCCACTGATACCTACTACTAGAAGGGTTAGCTTTGATTCTTCTGTGACTAAAGAGAAAGAGGTCGGGAACAATAATGCCATTCGTACACGAGCAGCTCGTACGGGGTCTCAACGCACCAATGCTTCTGATGTCACGACTACAGAGGCAGTGCTTAGTGACAAAGAGGTTGGGGTTGAGCCCGAGCCTCCAAAGAAACGGGGACCTGGAAGACCCAAGGGTTCGCTGAATAAGAAGAAGAGCGAGACCGAGAAGCCCAAGAGGACATATGTTCGCAAGGTAGCCGGGACTGTTAAAGAGAAGACACCGGCCAAGGAGAAGGCAAAGAAAAGTACAATGAGAACTCGGAGTCAAGATGCGATACAGAAAGAGATGTATTTATCCCCTCCCAACTCAAGATAACACGTATATTATCAGACAGTACTGACACGTATCGGTGATAGTATGAGTGGTGTCATGAACCAGAACCAGTCAGATGAGGTTAGAAGCTCTACTACTACCGGTGAATGTGATGATACCTATTTGCCTGTTCGTCCATGGGAGGACATGAGCTCTTCACAGGTGCCGCCGCCATCTTGTGGACAGCCACTGCTTCGTGTAGCCACCCAGCAGAACGGACCAGAGCCTATGCCCCTATGTGCACAGCCCCGGTCATCTGTGTTCACACAGAACTCGACACAGTCTTCATTCATGCCCACACAGCCTAACAACTCAGAGTCATTCACAAGTACTGCACCGCCACGTCTGCTGCCCAGGATGTTTACTCAAACCCAGGACTATATAAAAGAGGATGGATTTGACATTTCACGGCTGTCGGGTCTTGACGATGTTTTTGCTGACCCCATTTCCACTCCGCCTCGTAGGATGGGGCCTCCCCCCATGAATAGCTACATGGGCTCTTTGAAGGCGAGAAAGAATGTTGGAAGGCTCTCGCCCATGGTGCCCCAGCACTCCCAGGTTCCGCACATGGAATGGGACACTCCGAGTTACCAGGTTCCAGCGTCTACAAGTGCACAGCCGACCCGTAGACTTGCGTCGAGGAGCAGGTATCCCCATCTTCATGGAGCCATGAGCTCTACACAGCCGATGGCGGGCGAGGAGATCGTAGAGGTTCCTGTGGGTAAGGTGCTTGATTTGAACTCCGATCTCAAACTCCCTTCACTTGTTCCGGTTATGGGCTACGCCCCCTTAATGGGGTCTGATAATGTTGAACCAATGAGCTACCGCAAGCTTCTTGGACATCCGGAACTGATGCCCCGGCCGAGGGCTGTGCCAGGGGCAAGCACTAGCTTTCAGAGGGCAAAGATGCTGATTAACCAAGCTGCGGCCACTGAGGGTGATGGGCAGCTGACTCCAGCGAAGAGGGGTGCTCCTGGAAGACTAAGTAATGCGCAGAAGAATGTGAAGCTTGCGGCGATGAATAGGCATGTCAATAATGAAGAGAGCGTGGTTCCAGAGACGCCGTTCAAGATGTGAAGGTGTTGGTTGTTGTTGTTGTTATGGGTAATACGCAAGTGTTGTATATGCAGGTATGGAGGTTTATATGTGGCTAATATTGGAGACTATTCCGGATCGGGTAAACAACGGTTGGAAGATATTATAATTGTAGGGTTGCTAACAAGTATGCTATGAAGGGTTTTACTAAAGCAGGTGGTGCGGGATTTGTTGGAAAATGTGTCATCGAATTTGTCGGTAAAGGGATCATGAATATCGTTCCTACGAAAAAAAGTTAGATTTGATTCTAAAACTAGTAGCAATGGCAAAGACAGTAGCATGCAATATTGTTGGCAAATGTGTTGGTAAAATCGTAGACTTAATCATCGAGGTTCCAAGAGAACAAATGTTAGAGAGGCGAATAATAAACGTAGTCAGTAAAATTGTTGGTAAAGTTGTCGGTAAAGTGACCGTCTTATTGCTATGGGTTTTTTCTTCTTCATTAGAAACTCGTTGATAAAGTCGTCGGCATAATCGTTCAGAAACTTGTTGATTGATTACTGAGTGTTTTTTCGAGAAAGCTAGAAGAAGTCCGTTGGGCAATGCATCAGTAATGTTATCTGTAAAATCGTTCACATGATTGAGCCGTAAAGGAAATGTATCGGCAATATCATCGGTATTGTCGTCGGTAAAGTCATTCACTCTATCGAATGAAAAAAACAATGTATCAGTAAAGTTGTCTGTAAAATCGTTCATATGATTGAGCCGCAAAGGAAATGTATCAGCAATATCGTCTGAATTGTGGTTGGTAAAGTCGTTCAACCTGTTGAAAAGCAAATCAACGTTCAGTTAATGTTGTTGGTGATGGTGTATGTAAATGTATGATCGACTGTATTCATTAATGTAAAACGTTTTGAGAAAGTCATCGGATATACCGTTGGTTAAAGCATCAGTAAAGTCGTTGCTGTTATTGAGGGAAAGGTTAATGTGTTGTTGATATCATCGGCAATTGCATCAGGATACTCGTAGATGGCCGAATTGTTTGGGGGATAAAGTATCGGTAATGTTGTCGGTATAATAGTCAGTAAAGATGTTGATGGTTTGTGGTAATGGCAATATCGTATACCAACTCGTAGGTAAATTCGTAGACATATTCGTTGCACCGACGCACAATGCAGATGTAGAAGTGCATGGAATAACGTCAACAGTTTGAATGATAGGTGAAGTCTACCGGGAAATGTATCAACAAAGTCGTTGGCAAATGTATCGTGCTGCAAAAGGGCGGAGGGAAATCTCGTCGGTATAATCGTCGGTATATTCGTTCACGCACATATATGATACGAGTCGGTGGGTTTAGTTGTTGGCATAATCGTTGACACAGAAAGCAGGGAACGGCTAGAGTATCAGTAAAGTCGTAGGTAAACTCGTCGGCAAAGTTATTTCCTGAGTAACGGAGAGCGCTGATAGAAGGTGGGCAAACTTGTAGGCAATATCGTTCCAGCTGTTCGTGCTCCGCGGTTAATGCATCAGTAATGTCGTTGGGAATGTCGTACAGCGCTAGTAGGTGAGTGGCGGTAAAGTCGTTCCCATAGAAACTTGGTCGCGGCACAAAGTCGTAGAGGGGGCAGAGCGGCAACAGTCGCCGTGCAAAGTTGTTGGCTAACTCGTTGGCAAAGTCGTAGGGCGTGCAACGCGGGTAATATTAAAAGCTACACTGGCGCGGCTACATATTCGTTGGCGTACTCGTTTCGGCTGTGCGTGGTTAAGGCATATGCATCAAGAAAGTCGTCGGCAAAGTCGCTACAGCAAAACAGTGCGACGTAAAGGGAAGTTACAAGTTACTGCTACGGAAAGTGGTGTAAGTCATCGGTAAAGGCGTTGGACAATGCATCAATTGGACGAGTTTACAGAGCCCGCGACGGATAAATGCATCAAGTGATGCATTAACGCGTGCCGTTTGTATGGGTAATGCATCGATGGATGCATTATTTGCGCTGGTAGAGCTTGTTGGAATGAACTGTAAAAATAAGTATGTGGACAAATTCCCAAACACGATTACCGGTCCGGGTGTCTAACACAACACTTATATTCTTTGTAGCTAGTAAATCTGGAGCATCGTGATAACTAGAAGAGAAAGTGCCAAACGCCTAAAGTTAAAATATAATTCCTAGGTACTAGTGGGGCCGGTAATGATAATTATATATATAAATTCGATTAAGGATTGATAACAATAATGTGTATATACAATATATCTCTACGGTGTTCGACAATTCAATTATGACAAACCATAGGTTTATGAAACCTAAGATTTCCCCTCGAATAGTATAGTAGCTCAGTCAACCAAACAGATTTACAAAGAAACCCTACTTCCACACACATATATATACCCATTTCATATTCTGCACCAGAAGAACCTCACCAATTTTTCCACTAGCCGAGTGATATCCTGTGAGCAATATCTTTTGCACCGTAGGATCAACGATTATATGATGGTTGATTACTTTGGTTTACCAATGAACCAAAACTTCGGGTCAGTGAGTGACAGGAGTAGGATTTCAGTGTTCCAGACTTTTCCGGAACTGGCTATACTCCGATCCTTATGGGCAGGGTTTATGCCTACTTGTACGGGCATAAACCACGCATATCGGATTAGTGTGGGTCTGGGGAAGCGTGTGAACTATAGCGCTAGAAGTGCCCGTTAAGATACAATTGATACCTGGAGTTGAGTTCGTAGCGAGCAATGATCGGGGATGATACTTGTGCGATAGTTGGAGCATTACGTTATGTACGTACGCTGCTGTGTGTGTGAGTTTTTGGATATAGGGGCTAGCCAATGTGCTAAGACGAGGTAAGACGAGACATTTAGTTCTTGCGTCACGGTCGCAGCTTCAATATTGAACTTCTGATTACACAATTGAGTATATAGGTAAACATAAAATTGATCTCTATCAAATGACCCTACTCGTAATTTTTTTGCGTTTCCGGACTGGACTGGGTCCGCATACCACCAAAATATGGTTGTCAAGCACGATTTACGCCCATATGCGGACCTAGTCCAGTCCGGAAACGCAAAAAAATTACGAGTATTTCCGGTGGTACCCATGCTTTCTACGGTTGAAGATTGATGTAGTCCTATCATCTGTCTGCAGATAATCATTCACATCTATGTGCATGTAGGTGATTTCTCCGCACATAGATACATGTACTTATTAATAAGTATATGTGCTTGCTTTAGTTAGCTGATCAACCCCTATGAAAAGCTAGCATATCCACTCAGGCCCCTAACTAACGAAATTACTCGAAAGCTTGTCGTTAATACACGTGGATATATATATCGATTACTTACGCATCGCAGTGGCGCCATATCATATCATGAAGCCCAACATGGCCAGTCAGCCAGCTCGAGTTAAGCTCCAGCATCTCAAATATTCCGTCGGGACCCGGATAAAAATAGCCCACCTAAGGGGCATATGTGGTACCTACACATAATTGTAGGCGTGTAGATAGACCGAGTTTCCCCCAGCCTATCAGTTAACTTGGCCAGTAAAGTGGTTCAGGTCACGGTATACCTCCAGCACCGTGATTTTGGAAAGCCACTGCTGTCAGTTCCGCGCACGGATTAAACCGGCCGGGAGGGAAAGAAAGACAGAAAAACAGGAAAGAAAAAAAAGAATCCGTAGAACGCACCTGCCGCGCGTTCACAAGTGGGTATCCAATTGCACCTGCAAAGTCTGCCTGCAAATTTCAGGTCCTGGGGTGGCTGTTCAAAACGGGCGCCAATGATTTTGTCCAAACGTTGTGCAGCGCTATGATTCGCTGCAGCGCAAGCGCCGGAGTGAGTTCGCCACACCAAATAGAACTGAAATGCTACTTGAGTAGATACTTATCTGTTTATCAATAACGTCTCGTCCAGTAGCTCGATGCGATTGATATGACGTTAGTCTAATCCTTTCCAATCATCGTTTTATTTTTCCTCTTCCCCATTACCAGCCTGCAATATCATTGTGGGGTTAATTTGATAGTAATTTTCTCCTGTCATATTAGTGTCGCCAATGGCTACCTCAAGAGAGCCTGCAACATTTGGAATCCGGATCTTGAATTCATTCCAACATGAGATCTCTGAGCGAGTCAAGTCAATTGGAACTCACCGATCCTGTTCCCATTCTTTCGGCCAAGAAGCACTTCTCCTATAGCTGTCAGACTTGTGACCTGACCTGGGTTGTGACAGTTGCAAGCTTGCGCCTAAGTGCATGTTCAAATTGTGCCGCTCGCGCTTGAAATTGAAGTTGAGTTAAGAGGGCACTGCTGCCTAGGTAGGTACCTATTTACATACCTACCTAGGCACTCAAGACGGCCTTAGAGAAGAAAGACAGAACGCGCAACGTCATGTTCGGTTGGATTCATGCGGCGGGTGTGCGGGAATTTCACGAGGGCAAGTAAGTACCATTTCGGGATGATGTCTTAAACACCCAGAAACTTCGATCTGGGGACGGAGGCCGGCTAGAACTAAGCGATATGTCTAAGAGTCTAAGAGTCGATAAAGGACAACCTGGAAAGATGAAGAGACGAAGTGTGTCATAATAAAATAAGTTCAGAAGGTTCCTGCATTACCGTCCGAACACTAATCCTGGTGACCCATGGATTTATTCACGAAGACTGTACTGCGAGTATGTAGATCCCCCTATTCCGGACTCTTCAAAGAATCATTCCCAATCACCATTGGGTACTACATACTCTACTTGCCTACAGATGGAGCCGAGACTCCCGGGGGCAAGGAGGTGGGTGGGTAAGTACTGTGTAGGTGGGAATTGAAGTGTTTGTGAAACAACTTGGCCGCCAAGTTCAATCCTCGGTTTTGGCATCTCTTTTCCGCCTTCTTTCTCGCGAATTTTTTCAGGCGTTTAACGTTTAGTTAGAGGGCGAGGATATTGATCAGATAATGTAGGTACAAGCGAAATAAAGTGTATTATTTCCCCCATCTCCTCCACACACACCAAACGGTAGGGTGGTTCCACTTAAAAAAAAAACTTCCCCTTAACTCCTCCCTCTAGTTTGGTCGATATTAAACCTTATGAATTAGGTTATTGATTAATGAGATTGCATGTAACCTGCATTTATGTCACTGGAGGTCTCTGCTCTAAAGCGAATAGATAGTTATTGCAAACTAGGTGATCTTCCACCAACGAGAGGTGTATTTAATAGCCCTTCAAGGTAAAGATCAAGCTGTTCTTGAGAGTACAATCCCTCTGAGTGACAGTAAAAGGGAAGAAGGATTATTGCCCAAGGTTTCATGTTCCATGCAGGACAAATCGGGGATCTGCGGTCACCCACCCCCGGTGGTGTTAATGCACATTTTACGAAAAGAAGTCTGAACTGGATCTCCAGAAACAGAGATCTACCGGGTCATTTATTGTCTCCCACGAGACTCAAGAAAAGTAAATACATATATCCAATAGAAGGTACAACACGTACAGCATACCACCCCTACGTGGTAATTGAGGCTGGAGCACAACACAGCCAGCTCAATTCGCTGCCTGATGATGATATCGATGTAAAACGCGATTTGATGCTTTCATGCAGATTGTTGAAGTTCGGTGTGTCATCGCTTCGTTCAGCTGGGGGTTCGACATGTTCTTGTTCCTGTGCTAGTCATCACACGCAGGTGCAGGGCAATTGGATTGGCGTACCTTACAGCTAAGCGAGAGAAAGAGCATCGCTCAGTGGTTTGCCTCCTCATCAGCTCGCACCGCCCAGTTTAACGGAACAATGCAACTACATACATGGCATAACGCAATAACCACAGGCAGCGCACGAGGTAAACCAGCCCTTAAAGTCACTCCAAAGTGGAAATGAGGATGTAGGTAGGTACACGGAGTAGGTAGGTAGAATACCTGCTATTGTGACAGCCTGATACATGGGGTTTTCTTTTACATCGTAGACTAGCACTATTCTGAACTTTGCCCTGACTAGACTGCCGGTGTGGGCTAAATACACCTTGCCTACCTAGAGTATAGCACCCCGAGGCGGCTTTGTGTCCCAGTATTCCACTAGTCAACATCTCCAAGGGTTTGAAGGGTCTTGAGGTCTTGAGGCTAGTAACGGCCAGTTGCCCACACCCGACATTTCCTCCCACACCACCACTCCCATCTAGGCACTCTATCCTCCCTGTCACAAGGGTCACCTTCAGGTCAACCCGCCGCCCGTGATTCAGATTGTGTGTAGAGTACGTCCATAGCCTCAGGTCTCCCCGCCTCTGGGCGGCGGCCTATCGTACTTCATCGCAATACCTTTCCAAAACTCGAATCCTGGACTCATGCAGCCACTCAAGTACCAAACGCATGGGTGGCAGCCATCATCCCCGGAAGAATAAGCTGTAGAGCCCTAACCTATCCTAGGACAGGCAACCTGTATGTGAATTGGGTTTGCCCCAGCAGGCCTGTATATATCATGCCCTCTACCCCCACCGCGTGTGGCCTTTCCAGATCTCCGACTTCTAACACAGTTGTGCTCGATTTTCCCAACTCTCGTTTTGCCGGGTAGTTGTCAGTCTTTGAATTGCTTCATCAAGGATTGCCCGAGGAGTGCCCTTCTGCTACTTGCCACTTGCTATCGTCGTCGACTCCCTTAATTGCAGAAGAAAACGACATTCACTCACTTATATTCATTCATTTACTATTATCGCGTGATAAGGGCCGGTCTTTAATTTAATAAAGCCCTAGTTTGGAATTTTATGCAGTGCTCATAATTGACGTTGGGAATAATAATCCAACCACCCAGCACACTTCGAAACCTTTTTTTCTTTTCTTAGAGAAATTTAACACCAACATCATGTCCACATTGGCTGCTTCTTTAGTAGATGGATGCCCTCGACCACTTCTTCCCGAGGCCAACTACCCCGAACTAGGTGGAGGTAAGCAACAAGAAAGCACCCACCATCGAAATAGAAACTAACCATGCGATTTACACTAGACACAAATGCACGTTTCTGTGTGCCGATAGCTGCAGTTGGGGGAACAAGTTGCTGTCTGCCATGCCCGAAGCAACATTATGTCTATCCAGATAGTGAGTTCAATCATATATATATGAGATGAATCTCGAGCGATTATCTAATTCACTTTTCAAGACTTTCAGAACCTGGTACACGCTACAACATATGTCAACGTAGTGGGTATAGGATGCTGTGCTTTTCTTCTACTAAGTTTTGCAGTGTTGCCAGTAGAGTATACACGAAGGCATTACTTGAGCGTTTGCTTGACGTTTGCTATTCTGTTGATGCAGGTAAACAATATTGGACGCATAAAATTTCTAGATATCACGACTAACTTAGTAAGATGTCGTTTGTGATCCCATTAGGAAATCAGAAAACGCAATGTTTTGACAAAATTACGCCCCATGATATGTACTCGAGTATCAACTGTGCTCTCTCGGGGGCTTTCCTGCTAGGTGGTGGATGGTCTACGGTGATGTGGGGTATGTAATACAACCATCCAGACTTCTTATTTCGGAGCCATAAATTAACATGTCTTTAGTGTTTTTACGAACGCTTTCACTGCACCTCCAAATCTGCTGGCAGGCAGTTCCAGGCCGTCGATTCTTTCTAACCTCACAGGCAGCCGGTTGGTCGGTCCCCGTCGTTTTCCTCGCCGTGGCCCTTTCCGTGACAGGTGTGTCATTCCGCTTCGGGGAGTCGTGCCACATAAACTCGAAAAATGGCCTACAGACTTTTTGGGGGCCACTTCTCGCTGTCGCTGCTGCCTCGATTGTAACTCAATCGATAACCTTCGGATACTGTATTCAAGTGTACCTCCGCAGTCTGTTAGAGGAGAAGCAGACAACCGAACTTTCATCGCATCTTCCATACGCCAATAGTATCAGGACTGTGTCGGCGGCACAGGCTCTAAGAAGGGTACAGCGCGTGGTCGCGCTGCAATGGAGGGGTATATTCGTGGTCATAATCATTCTCGTTGATGTGGTATTTTTTGCTACAGTATTTCTGCAATTCGATGGTACTACGGAAAAGACACCGGAGAATATAAGGGCAGGGATTGAATGGTTGACTTGCGTCCTTGAGAAAAATGGGGATAAGAATAAATGCCTGGATCTCGCAGCAACATTAGTCGTGCCTGAAGCAACGGCTTTAGCTGTGCTATTCCTACTTTCGGTAATTACATCTAAATTTTGAAATCATTTATTGATGGCTACTAACTCGACTCTATAGTTCAATGGAATCTGGGCACTTATTCTTCTCGGAAACTACAAAATTTTCACAGGGTGGTTTCACCTCTTCCGTGATCTCTTCACCAAGCCGAAGCCCAATGATGAGTTTGTCTCCTACAATGCCCGACGAGTCTCCGAACCAGACGCATCGTACGAGATGCTTGATTCTATCAAAAACAAGACCCTTTCTACAGCCACTACCAACATTACTAAAACTTCTTCAATCATCAAATCACCAGAACCGCTTTCTCTCTCGATGCCGAGGGAATACAACCCATCCACCTTCTCCGCACAGCTTAGGACTAGAGCTGACTCAGATGTTTACCCTCCATCTGTAAGGTTGAGATCTGACTCGAGTTTCTCATCACCACCATATACGCCATTCAAGGATATCACATCAGTGACTGGCGGAAGCCCACAAGTGGCTACAGGGGCTCCTTTCTCGCCATATAGGGATAGCCCATCTTCTTTGCATGGTGGGAATAACCAGTTTTCGCCATATCGGGATATCAGGGCAGAGACCGAGGCGACGGATTATATGTCTGTCTACTCTCAAGCACCAAAGTACCCACCCGACGCCAAAATTGTTGGGCTCGCTTCATGAACATGTTTTTTTTTCTTTCTTTCTTTCGTTTATCTTCTTCCTTCCTCTAGGGTTTTTTATTTTATGTGGCATTTTGCGGGACATTTAGCGGGAGCAAACATTGTGGCCGGTTGTGGACAATTTGGTTCGGGTTTTTTTTTTCTGGTAGGGCATGGTACCTCCTGGATTTTTTTTTTTCAATTTGGAAGAAAATACTATCACTCATTCTTATGTAAGATGGATAAAGGGCTCTGCGGACAGAGCAAACAACTGGTGGGGGGATTTAAATCTCCCAGACTAGGCCTAGAGTTAGGTATAAAAGAATGGGATATTCTTTATTTACTCATTGTCTTTATTTACTGTATATATGCTGGCATACAACTGGGTTTTACGGTGTTTATGAGGTGTTTTGTTTATCTATCGGTCTAATACCCCCCTAGGCCTTCGATTTCTCTTTTGGCTATTATATGTAACCTTATATAATTTCTTTTTGCCATTAATCCAGCTTTGGTTGGATCGATGTATGAGTTAGATCAATTGAACAGAATTGGTTTAAAAAATATATACTTGGCCACTAGCACTTCATATGGACAATTGGGTTATCCTAGAACCTGTTTCATTGCGATTTCTTCAAGGTTGAGTCAAAATATAGTGGCAAATTCACTGCTGCACAGGGGGCAGACTGCAGACTGCAGTTGGACAAGGCGTTCTAGAAACCTTGTATCACGCTGTGTGACCACTAGGCCTAGGTCTGCGATTGATAGTTTGAGAACGTGGGTCACAGCCAAAGAAGATAGTTCCATTTCCTTTTACTGCAGTTGAAAAACCCTGGTCGTATGCAGGCGCCCGTCGATGCCATGGCATGGCGATATTGTTACTCACTACGAGCTACTGTCCGTTCAGCTAGCTGAGACATAACGGGAATCTGTCACTTAATTGCATGTGAGTTCGGATGGAGTATGTACTTTACCAGCTACATCTTAAGTACACAGACCAGATCAAGGAGATTTAGCTGTAGTACATGCGTAAGGCCTATCAAAGACTAGCAGCCGTTAAAAGTTAACTCAGGTGTGGTTTTGTGCGACGTGGTTGCTTTTTGGTGTGGAGCGCTAACTTTCACATGCCCTGAAAAGGCAGGCGAGTGACAGTTCGTGAGCGACATCTAGCTGGGGCAACAGCTGGTAACATCGAACGGAAGCACAGAATCTGGAAACAACCGCGGTTGATACGGTGAGTATGCACGCCCGTTCAATTGCTTATTGTTATAAGTGAATATAACGGGCTTAAGTTCAGCCCTGGCAGATGAAAGACATATTAATGATCGACTTTTTACCATGGTCACGGTTCAATACTTGGTTATGATTATCGAATCTCACAGGGGTGTAAAGTGCCGAGCGGCCGCCTGCGCTCCGGATTTTCTATACAACTACTTATAAAGCTTATACGATACCGAGTCACTGCCACTCACTCACATATAACTTCAGTTGACAAGTTCTCCTCCTACACGCGGTTCGTGTCTAGTGTGTGTATCACACTTTTCTCCGCTTTGTGAAATTCCGTGATCCTTTTCCAACAGTACTGTGGTGAGCAAATGTTAACTATGTCTAGTTCGTATAGGGCGTATCGTCGGCGCTTTGGGATCTTGTAACTAGTCACAATACGATACATCTCGGACGTGCGTTAGGTTATTCGATCACAGCCCTATATATACCGGTTTCGATGACTTCCGGACAGCCATTTATCGCCGTTATCGTATCACTACACGCTGCATTTCTTTCACACCCTGATCCACATCTTAATTTGTGTGTTTCATTCATAGAGCTACACGAAGGTGATGATCATGATACCTTAGGAGCTCGAATCGAACTCACTGGAGAACGTCTCCCTTTCCCCGCATGACACAATGTGGCCTATAAAATATTAAGACTACATGTAAATTATGATTATCGATTAGCAACGTGTACACACCCGGTCATCTTTTATTAATGCCTTCGCACCCCAATGTGACCACCGACACGTCATATACAGATGGCCTATATATCTCGATACGATATTCAATCCAGTGTGCGGCTGTGGTGCATCTATACACAACTTCAGAGAGAACCACCTCGGCATCCAAGGTTCCCTAGTTATACATGTGGAAATATACCCAACAAGCAGCCTTATATATAATGCGGCACCCGTATTTCCCCGGACTTTGTACGACCCCCCTCTAGTTGGTAGCGAGAAAAGACAGCTGCAGAGTTGGAGTTGAGCTCTTTCACCAACGTGAGCAAATCTAAGTACCGCAGCACCATTCCGTAGCACCACCCATAATCCCAAGAACCGAAGAAACATGTGTGTCCAGAAGGTACTCGGGTCTTGACATACGACAAATTTTCGACACGTCATAAATGCGCTTTAATTTATTGGGATCTCTCCGCGGATCCGTTCGATAAAACAAATCCGGGATAAAATACATAACTATAGCCCGAGACTTGTTTCTTCAATCACTGACGCATCTTGTTATATGTGCTCGTTTATTAGCCGCAGTACTGCAACGCCAAGCCTCTACTCTACTGCATTGCGGTTCAAGGATTAATAGACGCCTTCTGCCTCCATTGAGTCAGTAGTTGGCACAGCTACTGATTGTGTGAGCTTCGGCAGGGGAACGAAAAGAGGCTTGTTATATATATGTTTCATGCTTGGAGTTCAACTGTAGTTATATATACACCGGTGAGGAAGATATTCCGGTGAAAGGGAAGGGAAGGCATATATATAAGTCCTTAAGCTCGGTTCTAAACGCTTGTTGCTACCATCGCAATAATACTATTTCCCTTAGTTCTATCTATATCTGCTTCAAGTCCTATTAGCAAAAATAATACAATAACAGCCACTGACACTTAGGCAAGCACGCAGCACAGTCGGACTTATATCTCCCCAGTTGCATCAAGCTGCGACTTCACACCCGGCCTCAACCTACGACACTATACCCATCGTTCGCATTAATAACCAACATTTATAGTCCACAAATGGCAACTATATACATAAGTCGGCCCTCGAGCGGCAACTGGTTCGGGGATGCTAATATGACTCTCCAAAGCCAAGAAAACATGGAACGCTTATGGCAAGCAATCCAGTCCGTCAGGTTGGGAACCATCACACCCTCCGCTGCGGCCATGACCTGCTTCACCTGGCTCACCGACATAATCAACGCCCGCTGCCCGCCATTCTATCCCGAGACTGAGGCTAAAATTGAAGACCGGCCCGGCGACACCCCTGGCATGCGAGAATTCCACGACCGTTTCTGCGGGTACTTGATGATGAACTCGGGTCTCTCAGATGACAAGAGGCAAGACCTTCTGCTGAAGTTTGCGGTGGAATATTGGAGCCTACTGCGGACAAAGAAGTGGATCTATAGGGGGGAAACAATGGAGCTTCCTTCGCTGGGGATGGATAAAATCGTAATCAATCTTGGTCCTGTTTATTGGCCGCATACAGTGCCATCGTTTGCCGGTAATTCTCATATTTCCTCCCCCTCATCCTCCCCCTCCTCTCTAAGTCTCTGTATGTCATGTCTATATCAGAAAGGCTACTGACAGAAGTACATGTATTTATAGCTCCAAGACCCGAAGGGATTCCATGCCTCACGGATCGGCTTCGCCGAGAAAATCGCTTTCTGGCGTTGATGCGGAAGCACATGGGTTTCAGTTGGGTGGACCGGGTTATATATGAGTACTTATACCTACCATTTGACGATCGGGATAGGCGCCCTAGCAAGGAAAGTTTCGAAACCACGGTCATCATTTTGGAGATCATAGGAAGTGAGTTGTATACTTCGCCGCGCGGCTGGCGGAGTGGGCGGTTGAACTATGAAGATCCGGGTCGCGGTTCGGAAACGATGGAATATGAGGATAATTGGAGTGGCGTGGGGGAGTATAGGAAAACGTGGCCGGAGTGGATAGCGAGGGGACATGTTTTGATGGCGGATGAGAGTTACAGTAAAGAGTCCAAGGAGGCGGTGAGAAGGGCGATAGAGGTTATGGAGGAGATAGAGGAGACTGTAAAGAAGGAGGAGGCCGAGGCCAGGGCCGGTGCGAATGCGGGTTGAGGTCTTGCACTTGGAGATTGATAATGGAGCTTAAATTCTTCGTACCGGATTGTATTTCTTGAAGAAGCATGGCAAGAGCTACGTTAATGAGTAGATGCGCAGTCATGAAAATTTCAACAAGTTTTAGAATCACTGCTATATCCAAGAAGTTCCCGACTGATAGAGCAGACCCTAGCTAGCCGGTAACTACGAGCTCGAAAAACGGTTATTATAAGCGACGCCCTCCGGATCCATATATAATATCGAAATTTACACTCCTAACCCAGGGACCGAGTATGGTAGTATGAATATAACATACCGCCCGACCATATCAACCAAACCAGCAAGTTCCAACACTCCATAAAAAACAACTCTCTGACTGCCAATTTCTATTTATCCCATGGCCCAAACGGTAGGCAATGAAAACGTGATACATATAATTTTGATACCGGAGTGCCAGGAAAATAAGAAATATCTATGTCTCTCCTTATCACGCTCTAGATACGTCATTGGGGATATGGCCTTGGATACTATACTAGCTTATTCTCAACAATCTATAGGGCTATAGGATAAGATAAGACGGCCATTGGAGTGGGATATAATATGAGAATTGCGAGTACCTTACAGGGGGCTTGGGAGCGTAGTGTAAAGTAAATTCATCATGTGATTGGGTGGATAGGGTTATTATGAGTGGGATTTAATATTTGATGTGCAGTATTGTACTTGATAGGAAGTGAATGCTGGTCTGTGATGGATGATATAGATCAGAAATCAATAGATCAATTGCAAACAAAGCGCCGATCCAGCAAGTCCTAGAATTTAACCCCAAGCTTTGGGCTTTGATATTTAATAGGGTTTACGTTCGGTTCGAAATTTCGAGATTTCCATCTCGTCCCCCAGGAGTGCAGTGTTGGGGAATTCGAAGTAGATATAAAACACAGCTCATACGTATGAGCCCCACTGCAGAACCTAGATTATGAGACCAGGGTAGTTACATACATGAAGCTTAAAATGATAATGAAGCCTCCGGGCGTATAGATTCCGCGGCCCCAGCTGCAGCCGTAGTTTAATCACTTCCAATCCACATTAATGTTGCATGAAGCGCCGACGTACGTCGACCCGCGGTCGATAACAGGACCGGATGCACCGGCCGACGGTCGACGGTCGGACTCTAGATACCCGCGCCGCCGGTACTGGATACAATTACAACGCCCGGCCGGACATTGGCTCTTGGGTAGATGAATTCATCTCTTCAGCACTTCACCCCTTCATCTCGTTCATCTCGTTCATCTCCTCATCGCACCCCCGGCCCGGCCATCGCCAACGAGATGAGTCGATGGTGCTGTGGCGGCATGAATTAAACCGGCTATCTACTAGATACTCACCCGTCTATAGGGCGGGCAGGGCCGGGCGGCGGGCCAACCATTGACTAGCTTCCGCACCACATCGCCAACCCGCACGGGCCCGGTGCGGAGGGTCAATCATTAACTCCCGCATCTGCGCGCCCGCCGCATGCGGTCAACCCCCCCCCCCCCGGGTTGTGGAGGGTCACGATGACCCGGCGCGCTATTCTACGGGGGCTCTTGGATGGGGTAGAGGGGGAGTCGCAGATGTGGCCGGAGGTTTATTTCGGAGGTTTATTTTCGGGGGATAAGCTTATTTTGGATCTAAGTTAAGGTTGTGGGAATGGTTGTGCGTTCTAGGTGTGGGTGATTGAGATTGGCATGGGGAGAGAAGAGGGATTGGGGGCGGGGACGGGGGATGTTAGGCGTGAGGTGAAGTGAGGTGAGGTGAGGTAGTGAGGTGTCTACGGGTGAGTGAGAGCGAGTGAACTAAACTACGAGTGAGTGAGTGAGAAGAGGTGAAGTAGCACACCACGCCCTCCCTCCACTCCCTCCCTCCACTCCCTCCCTCCACTCCCTCCCTCCCTCCCTCCCTCCCCTCTCCCCTCCCTCCACTCCCTCCCCTCTACACCCGTGACCACTACACCAAAATACACTTTCTCGCCCAACGCTCGACCACCTCAAAAAGTGCGTTTCCAAGCCTCGAATCGCAAATCGACCTCCAGACACCTCGCGTCTCAATCCTAAAATTTTACTCCGGACACCTCTCCTCTCCTCACTTTTTGCAATATCTAATTATTCCTGCCCTATAGCCCCGTGTGCGACCATTTTGTAACAGAGCGAAACAGCACCAGAAGCCGGGATCTCCCAGCGTACCGGGGTGGAGGGCCGTGGAGTGAGGATTGGATCGGTGGGTTAGGGTTTCATCACGGATTATCACTCTGTTTTGCCTTGTGCAGATCTCGGCGAATCATGGGTTGGGGAAGAGATAGCGGAGTTCAACTCATTCGCGGTGTATTTATATTATACATGCCGTGTGCTGTCCTTGATTGAGAGGGCCCAAACTCTCCCGCTCTCTCGGATCCAGTGGTCACATGCATCTACATAGGTTGAGTTCAGCCCCCCGCCTGTGGCAAGGGTATCCTGATGATGCGGCTCTGAGATGCCGGGCCTAAGGCGTAGAAGGGAGGGTAAGGCTCGTTTTGCGCGTGGATACAATGGCGCGCGCGGGTGTACCTTCTTGACGCTTTCGAGGCAGCTTACGCAGCTGGGGTGCACTGGGGTGGAGGGTAAGTGGAGGAGAGGAGAGGAAGAGGAGCCTTGTACATAGTGCACTACATGCCTATTAGTGCCGAATTATACACACCAGCTATTTATAATGAGGGGGACAGGGCGGTTTGACTGATGATTGATCATCCTTGGGAGACGAGGGAGGGGTGAGAGAGGGATGAGGGAGGGGTGGTGCTGTTATTATATTACACTTTTTGCCTTGCTCCTGTATATACCCAATTCAGGGAAGATTTTTGCTTTGGTACAATACAAATGAGAGCTACATGTAGCTAGCATCCTGTGATGAGGGGGGTTGATTGAAGGGTTGTTATTGTTACGTTGTGGCGTATGGATATAGTGATTGGTGTTTCCCCAGCGTTTGTTACATGTAATTACCGTTATGTACAAGGCTCTGGCATTAAGTGAGTGAACGGATCCTTACCGGTCAACACCCCATTTAGTTCGCTCACTTAATGCCAGAGCCTTGTACTGCTGTTAACCTTCAGCTCTGCTTCTGTACATACTATACCTGTACCTACATGACATGACATGCCCAGTGTACCTGCCTCCAGAGTACCTACATGTACATACTTCAGATGCCACCTTAGACACTCATCGACATCGACATCCTACCCCATCCAAAATGCAATTTGCTTTGGCGGATTACCCACCATCATCGCTCGACACGTCCCAACTTTCTTGCTAGCTGTTACTTCTGGATCGTAAACTAGGCCGGAACAAGCCGAGCCCAGCGGCCACTTTCCCGATTATGGGCAAGACGTATTTCCTGTTGCGGCCTGGTGAGACGGGCGCACCCGTAAAGGGGCGCCCAGGACGAGTCGGACAACTGAGAGGCACAGAGATGGACGGAGAGAGAAGGAGCAGCAGTCTATCTTAGATGTGAGTAACATGAGCAGCAGCAATCAAGCAAGTGAAGCCCATCCGTACCTGTTAGTAGAGTGGATGTAGGGACTCATTACATACATACTGTACAGGTACTGTACGGTACCTACAGTGCCCAGCCAGGATAGAGGGGATGGTCATGGATGGGCGCCATTATTTGCGCTGACGCGACGCTGCCCTGCGGCGCGCGGGGGTTGATTCGCTTCCTGGATTTGGCATTTTGATTTGGTGCCTGGCATGAAGCCGGTTGTAGATTACAGGTAGAGTGGGTGTGTAAAAGGTGGGACGGTGCCTGGCCTGGCCTGGATGGATTGTGTATGTGTCTTTTTTTTCCGGTTCTTTTGCTCTGGAGACTTTCGTTTCGTTCGTTTCTTTTCTGCCTGTCTGCATTATCAGCCCTGTCGCTCGTTTTTTTCTTTTCTTTCCTTTCCAATCGATTGTTTCCAATTCATTCACTCTACCGGCGGTACCAATAGGTTTATTGGGAGATCACTCAGTCTGCACTCTACTCGGGCGCCGGATCCACAACCACTCTCGTTTTTTTTCCCTTATATTGTTATTTGGGGTTATTTCCCTTTGAACGGCCCGGCGTTGTTTCTTCTTTTCTTTTTTGCCCGTCCGTACGTAGAGTGCGTGCTGCTGCGCATACAATACGCTCTCTGCCTACCTACCCTACCGCTACTGTACGGGTACCTACCCAGCAGCAGGTGTAGCAAGTAACAAGCAATAGCACACAAGCACAGGCACAAGCAAGCAGAATACTTGTTAACCCCTGCGGACCACGCATCCAGCCAGCAAACAGATTCAAACACAGCAGCAAGCAACCCCCTTCCATCGGATCGATCGCGTCTAGCTACTGCTGCTACTTGCTGCGCTGAAGGGAGCAGCTAGCTAGCTATTACTGCCCTTTCCTCATCTTACCTACTAACTAACAGTCTTTTTTTTTATTACTTGTTTTCCCTTTCTTTTTATCATTCTGCCTGTCTGCCCTTTCTATTACTACTAGAAGCCCGGTTTGATCGTCACAGCAAAACCCAGCTTGAATATACTCTACGGCTACCCACCTCCTTCCTAGGTACATACATACATAACCTACCAAAGAGATATTAAAGAGAGGGAGAGACAAAAGAAGGGTCTCAGCGGTTTCCTAAATCTGATTTGCCGGCCGTTCAGCCTCCCCAATCAGAGCGTGGGCCCCCCATCCAGCAGCAGCAGCTAGCACCACCACAAGTCTCCCCCCCCCCCTCCCTCCCAGCCCAGCCTCTCACTCACTTCACACTCACTTTCACTTTTACTCACGCTACCTCCGTACAAACCATCAAAAAAAAAAACCACCACCACCACACTCGCTTTTTTTTTCACAACTCTTCCCATCGTGGATACACCAACCCATCACCATCACCACCACCACGACGACAACCCCAACCCCGGCCAGCAATGAGGCCGCCCTCATTCTATGCCCCGACAACAGCCTCGGCGCTCCTCCTCCTCCTCACAACCGCACTAACGCCCACGCCCACGCACGCGCTTACCGCCACGGCCATAACGCAGCCGACACTCAACCTCGATGGACTCGGTCGCGTTGGCATCGCCGGTGACTTCAGCGGACTCTCGATCGTCGAATACGCCGGGCAGTCTGAGACCTCGCCCTTCGCCAATGGCACTCAGAGCCTGCTGTCGCGGCTGCCCAACGGCGTGTTCACGACGCTCGCGTCGTCAGACGCGCAGATCCAGGCGCTGTGCGTGCACGAGCTTGCCGACGGCACCGTGAAGGGCATCTTTGTGGGCGGGAACTTTACGGGGCTGGGGAATGTTGCGGCGAGCGGCGTGGCGCTGTGGAGTCCGGAGGATGGGAGTGTGATGGCGCTGGCGGGGCTAGCGGGGAAGGTGCATGCGCTGCTGTGCGATAGGGAGAAGGGGACGGTGTATGTAGGCGGGGATTTTAAGGCGAATGAGAGTAATAGTAGTAATGCGATCTCGTGGGTGGATGGGAAGGGGTGGACGGACTTGCCGTTTGATGGGTTTAATGGGCCCGTGAAGTCGATTACGGCGACGGCGAATGGGACGGTGGTGTTTGGGGGGAGCTTTACGAGCTTGGGGAATGCGTCGAGTCCGTTGGTGAGGCATGCGCAGACGGTTAATTTGGTGTCGACGAATATCACGGCGACGCAGACGACGGATTTGGCGGGGTTTAATGATCCCTCAAGTATTGTGTGCTCGGAGGGTACGAGCAATCAGTGGTTGACGCGGGATGGGCAACTGGGGTCTTGGACGGCTGGGTTCAAGTTTGAATTCAAGCCAACAAAGTTGAAGCTGAGGAATGCCGATCATGAGGGCCGGGGAACCAAGATATTTAGGTTCACTGCATTCCCACTAGCTGGTATCATGAATCTCACATATACCGACTCTTCCACCAACGAGACCAAGTTTTGTGATGCGTGGTGTGAATTGGGTGAAGGAGCTACTCAGGAATATTTCTTCGTAAATGATGTCAATATGAATGCAATTCGAATCGATATCTTCGAGTACTATGGTGCTGGAGGAGGTCTTGCTGGAATTGAGCTATTTCAGGATGGTATGTCAATGATAATTTGTTTCTGTCACGTGCCTTTCGAGGAATTTCGGTTAACGGAGGTAAACAGACATCTTCGCGTTTGCATCGACTGAGCTAAATGAGCCGACGTGCGCTTCAAGTTCTGCTGATGCCAGGTCAACCTCCACTGCCACAGGCCCATGGACGGCGATTGATAATGACGCAGTTGATTCTGAATACTTATCAGTAAATCTCGACGCAACTGAGCTTTCGACAGCAAGGGTGGTCTTCGAACCCCACATTCAACAATCGGGCGAGTACAGTGTGCTTTTGTTTACCCCGGGATGCCGGCAAGATAACAGCTGTAGTACCCGTGGACAAATCAATGTAACGGGCACGTATACAGCAGATGGGACTGCCGAAAGCCCTGTGATTTTGTTTCAGACGAACGACTATGACAAATACGATACTGTGTATCGGGGCAGAGTTGACGCCTCTGAGAGCGGCTTCCGACCTAGTGTTACTCTCACCCCGGCCTCGTCTCAGTCCTTTTCAACTGTGAATATTGTGGCCCAAAAGGTCCAATTCCAGTTGTGGAACAACATGACGAGCAGTGGCAGTGGTACCACTAGCACTGAGAGTACGGGGACAACAGACCTGAACGGCCTTTACGAGTTTGATCCCACACAGACTGGCACGCCCACCGCGTCGGATATTGCAAGCTCCGTTGTCAACTCTGCTGGGCGTGGCCTGGGTCCTAGCGCTACGGTCATTGCCATGACTGCGAAAGACGATATCACCTATGTCGCGGGTAATTTCAGCGCAGACGATGGGAGCTTCTTGTACTTCTTCTCGATTGGCCCTGATGGGCCCATCACACCATCGAAGGGGGGATTGAACGGCACTGTTTATTCCATGCTTCTTGCGGATGATATTTTATACGTCGGAGGAAACTTTCAAAACACCAACACCGAGTCAACCGACGGCGTTGGTTTCGTTGTGGGGTATGATACCACTAACAATGAGTGGGTGACCCTAGGCGCTGGCGTGAACGGCCGTGTCATGGATATCGTGGCCCTCAGTGTGAATGTGAGCTCTGGGACACAAGAAGCTATCGCTATCAGTGGTGATTTTAATAGAATTGAAGCAAGCGGGAGCTCTGCTGCTTTGGACGTCGACGGCTTTGCTGTCTGGGTGCCTTCTCAGAACCAGTGGTTGGAATTGATGGACGGAGACAGAATTGCCATTCAGGGGGTTCTGTCTGCCTCTGTTTCAATTCCTAACGATAGCGTCTTATATGCTGGGTCTATCTCCTCGCAGAGCTTGGAAGCATTTGGAGCTGTTACCATCACTGACACAGATCCAAACACGCTTCAGCCGCTCCCAATGATAATTCAGGAAACATCGAGCTCCAGTCTAAGACGGCGTACAGTGGTCTCTGCCGATTACCAGGGCGTAGTTACAGGTGCTTTCTATAATGAAGGAAGTGCAAATCTGACGATCCTGGGAGGTCATTTTACTGCAGAGGCAACAGCTGGTGGTACGGTTAGCAACCTGGCGGTCATCAATGGCGCCTCCAATGATTCGGTGACTGGGTTCGGAACCGAAATCAACAACTCGAGCGTAGTCATGACGCTTGCAAAGGTTGACGCTCTTCTATTTGTTGGCGGCTCGATAGAAGGCACAGTTGGTTCTACTGATGTTAAGGGAGTGGTCGTTTGGGACATGTCTACCAATGCGCTTGCCAGTGAACAACCCGTTGGCCTGGAAGGCGATGCCGTTGCGGTATACTCAATCAATAGGCGTCCAAATACCCAGGAGATCTTTGTTGGTGGAGCTTTCAGCTCAGCTGGCTCTCTCCCTTGTCCTAGCTTGTGCGTCTTCGACAATTCTGCCAAACAATGGACCAATATTGGGGGTGATGTGAACGGTACTGTTAATATTATACTTTGGCTGGATAATGATAGCCTCCTCGTTGGGGGTGACATGACGCTTAACAACACCGCTACTTATCTGGCGGTTTATAGCGCAAAGTCGAGTGCCTGGGAGGCCTTTACGGGTGATATTTCGAACATCCCCGGACCGGTGCAGAGTATCGCGTTTGACTCGTCAGCGAAGGATTCGTTCTTTATCTCAGGAGTTACGGTATCGGACGGATCTGCGTACTTGATGAAGTATGGTAACAACAACGATAACAAGTTTATTACCGTGGGTATGTTGAGATCATTTGTTGCGAGGATGTACGCGGGTTGTGTTAACATTTATTGTAGATGGATTGGGTGATGGCTCGACAATCAGAAATGTCCAAGTTCTCGAACTCAGCACAGAACATGCCAGCACCGACTCCCTAAGTTCAAGTCAGTCACTTCTCGTCATGGGATCGCTGGATCTTCCCTCTTTCGGCAATGCCTCTGCGGCCCTATACAACGGCAGCAACTGGACGCCATTCCTTTTGGCCTCTAAGGAGAATGGTGAACGAGGTTCTGTGGCATCTCTATTTTCAGAGAATGAACAAAACTTTAATTCTGGCCGTGAGTACTACCTGCATTGTTTGGCTTTCCGTTATATCATAGGGTGTTAACAATCCGTTCCCTGTAGGCAAAAAACTCGCAAGGGGATTCGTAATCCTAATATCACTAGCGATTGCGCTAGGTCTTGTGTTTTTGATAGTTGTTTTGGGCGTTCTGTCATCTTACCTTAGACGACGACGAGAGGGATACTCACCCGCACCTACACGGGCATCTCCAGTAGAACAATCGATGCAGATGCAATCAAGGCTTTCACCAGCTGCCCTGTTTGGCAGTATCGGACAGAATTCAGCAGGGTCACCAGGATCAAGACCAATGTTGACGTAGATGTTTTCAAATTCTTTTTCCCGTTTCGATTTTTTCCCATCCTCTCTGGTTTACTATCGGAGCCATATACTATTTTGATCTGCTCTTTTTCTTTCTAATTATTATCCTCTTCTTTTGTTCATTTTTTCCTGTTCTGCTTTTGGTTTCGTTGGAAGTAAAGGAGTTTAAATTCCCCCATTTTCTTTTCCAGTTGATTTAACTGGCTGACGCTTTGCCTTCGTTGCCTTCTCTTTTTCATCTTCTTGCGTTCCTTCGGGTGGGACTGTATTGCGCTGGAATAATAACTGGGTCGGATCCACTAGTAGAGATAGAGATCATGTATTTTCGGCAACATGCCGTGTCATATTCGTTTCTTCTCTTTCTTTTCTTTTTTCTTTCAACAAATTAGTCGTTTTGGGGGTTATTCTTGATCTTTGTTCAGGTGATCGTTTTTTTCACCGTTTTTTCCCCTCTGGTTTACTGGCGGTATTATTGTTGTTTCTATTCATCGTTTGCCTCATGTTTTTGTCTATTTTTCTTCATTTTTTTCTTCATTCCGTTTCCTTTTATTTTCTCAAGGCAGTTGAAGTTGAATTAGTGGGGTAGTTAGATTCGGGCTGGATGGAATATCGGTTTGGGCTGGGCTGGCTGTGACGAGGTTATGTCGAAGGAAAAGATTGAGGGAAGGATATCGAAGGATGGACGGATTGAAAGTGTATTGCATAATTTCTGAAACGATTACTTGTACGGATGCGTGTCAGAAGTAGCTATTGTTCTAAACAAGACACAAGCTTAATTTTTCTACAATATTGAAGCTTTTTTATTTTTAATTTTTTATTTTTGAGATTGTGACGTGATCTGATAACGATATATCAACATATTGTAATTAATTAAACTTTGTTGGAAGGAATTTCTCATTTGGAGTGCTATAATTACTTTCTGCGGAGTTACGTTGGCAAAGCTTTAAGAATTCGGGTGATATCAGGTATGTGTGTAAGTTATTACTTGATTTCCTAGAAGAGACAACCACAACTGGCATGATACTGTAGTAACACTGAAATTCGTAAAGCCCCACAATGGATGGCTAGAAGCACAAATTATCACTCGAACCCGTCATCAGTTTCCTTCGTGGTGCTGTCTTCAACATCAACAAAAACTGGGTCAAAATAGCTATCGTTTCCTGGGTCTTTGGATGTTTGCGCATGTGCACACTCATACGCCTAGTCTCAGAAAAAGTCGTCGGTAAGTAAATGCTCATGTAAAGGGGAGGGTGCTATATAGCTAGCTCTAAGTTCTGTAAATCCAATTCATGTATGACTAAGACTCACTTGAGCTGATGGAGATGTCGGAAGCTACATTTATGTATGGCATTAGTATAAATACATGTAATTAGGAATTGGTTGAATACAAAGCGTATAAACTTACGTTTACTAGAACAGCCGGATCCTTTAACTTAGCTACTCTGGCCTTTGCAGTATCCTAAACATTCACAATACAGTGCATGTGTTAGTTAAAATTCTATCTTTACGTTAAAATATTGCACCAAACTGTTGCATCAACACATTCATTATGGGCTTTGAACCTGTGGGAAATTTGCCGTTTTTTTCACAGCAATATTGTCAGGGCCCTTGCGCAAAGAGGCCTTTTTAGGTTCGATAGGTGTACTGTCAAGCTCAGCTATGATGGAAGTGGGGTTTTCATAGGTGGTTACGAGTGTACTTGGTGGCTGTTTTTCGGTGCCGAGTTGATCGATAGTTGTTTGATGGGACTTTTTGCCAGAAACGATGGCGCTATTTCCTTGATACCTCTCCATGGCCCTGTAGTTACCTAGAGATATGTATTTGAGGTAAAATCGGATGCTTGAGCTGAGGGGTGAATGGGGAAGTGGGGAGAATCATACCATGCAGCAGCTCAGCCTTGTACCATGAATCAGCTGGATTGAATTAACGAATGCTGCAGCCTGCCAATCGGTATGTTCCGGGCGCCAAGGACGACCTGCATAAACGTCAAAGCTTGACCTGTTGATATAAGGGATCTAAAGAAGAGTTACGAGTTTGCCAGTGCCTTGATTTCGTCTGAAAGAGATGAAGATTTACCAAATAATGGTCCGTAAGTACGATTTCAAGGAGTGTTCGCAAAGATGAGGTAATGACAGATGATAAGAACCGTTGTAGGTCATCATCACTGCCCACGACAGAGGGTTAGCTAAGTTCAATACAAAAAGCACAATATGATTAATAGAGTGATGTTAGCAGGTACCCATGATGGAGTTAGCTCGGAATAAGTGGTCTCTGTATACATGTACATAATACTTCTCTACATGTAGATACATGTACATGTAGATTAAGGTTGATGATCGACGGGGGTCTTTTTCCACAGGTACAACTTACATACATGTACGTCTACGCGCGCGCTCTATATACATGTAGTACATGTAGATACATGTAGATTTGTATGTACCGTACACTGTGATGAGTCTACGAGTACATGTACATGTACATGTAAGTATGCTCATGACGTTTCCGAACACGACCAATATTGCATGACATACAAAAAAAGTGGATTTGGGGCTTTTTTGTATGGTATGCAATAGCAGTCGTGTTCGGAAACGCTATGAATAGACGAGTATGTAGTATAGTACATGTATATATGTACGTCGATATAATTGTACATGTCGGGGTAAGTCTGTTGACAGTGCCACTGTCAACAGACTTACCCCTACACCCGTATACAATTATAGTTGTAAAATAGTAGTCTGATATTTAGTAAGCGCACGTGTACATATAATCATATTACATATTAAGTTATCAGATGGCACGTTGTTACTACATACGTGTGTTGCAGAGTACATGATTTAGAAGCAATGCCTGAGTACTTTGAAATCTCCTTGGAAGTGTATTTGCGGGCAGCAGAATTCCGTCTCGGGAATAAGAGGAGATAAACTCCGAGGAGAACTGCTAATTTACCTTTGACCTTTGTTTTTCCGTAAAAAAGACTACAGACAAAGAACAGCCACAGACTTGACCTCTTTAGAAATTAGAGTACATTCGTAAACCAAACTTTAGTGATTACGGAGCGAATATATCTAGGATTGGAGACGTTGCCCTGCACCTCATATCTTTATAGGCATCTATATATGGCAGGAGACCATCTGGATCTGCAGAGTATTGTTGGTCCGCATGTTTAACAGCAGCATTTTCGAAAAAGAAAAACAAGTAAAATTTTCACGACCTTGACATTAGTGATGCCAATGCCGATACCTATTATTCCTTAATTAATACTTGAGGGGTGGGACATGATTTAGGCTCTTTTCCCAGTTCCCCCACGGATACCATGCGAGTAATGTATGTACATACTACAAACAGTTACGGCCCTGGTATTTGCCAGACCTGTTCAATTCGATCCTAGCTCAGCGTACTAATATGCGGGTAAGGAACCTACGGAAGCACCGGAGGTAGGAGAGAATCTACGACAACCAGGAACATCAGTGCAGTAGTATGCAGATATGTAATCTAGCCTGGCGGGGCGACCGAGTGTTTTTGTGGTGTGTCATTGGGCTTAGGATATTAGAGGGTGTGCCAACATGAGATAAACATCGCCAAACAATAAAAAAAAATAGCCTCTATCGAGTCTGTTTCCCAACACTTACATAACTCTGTGTGTATGGCTCAAGTAAGTTGCATCAAGAGTCGGAGAGGAGCGTAGATTTTAGCTACTGTTTGCGAAGTGGTGATAATTCATCTGCCAGAAGTGTATAGCGATGATTGGATAGGTATTTGATTCAGATATCTGTAACCGTGGTTGAGGGTAGAACACATGACGCACGAATCCCCCAGAACAACTACATGTATTTGCTGCGGCGGCTGTATGAAGGCCAGAAGTACCCAGGAAGAGAGCAGCGACGTATGTAGAGCCCCGGAGTATTTTAGTTTGACCCACCGAACGAAACTCACTCCCTCAACCCCTCTTCTCCCCACTCCGCCACCACCATTGAATTCTTCCGCCCGCTCTTTCAATAAAGTCATCCATCATTACCATTCAATATCGTTGTATTCTGAAAAAGAAATCTCTTTCTGAAAACTCTAACGCTTGAGAAAGATGACCGACACCATCATTCAGCCAGATGTTGCTGCCAATGCTGGGTTTGTTCTCCCACTGTCTATCCACTCTTACCCTCAACGTCATCGTTCTTCCCACCCCAGTTTTCACCCAAACTCTTCATTTTTGTTCGACAGAATGATAGAATTGAGTTTTGCGAGAGTCTTAATATCAATATGGGTGCTACTATTTTCCAGCATTGCAACGGCGGGGGCGGGGTAGTTTTGAGTACTTGATGCTGATAAGCGATTGCAGCACGGTGGAGCTTAAAGAGAACACAACTATTATCGTTCTCGGCGCCTCTGGTGATTTAGCGAAGAAAAAAACCGTGTGTACCCAATCCCCATGGTTGTCAAGGTCTTACCATAGCTGACGGTTTGCGTAGTTTCCGGCTTTGTTTGGACTGGTTAGTGATTCCCAAGGTTTCAATCATCGAAAACAGCTAGTTGACTAGTTAAATAGCATAGAAATAAGTTTCTTCCTAAAGATTGCAACATCGTCGGATATGCGCGGACGAAGATGGATGGGAAAGAGTATCTCAGTCGGGTGAAGTCTTACATCAAGACACCTATCAAGGAGATGGAAGAACAACTCGAAGAGTTTTTGAAAAAGTGTTCCTATGTGTCTGGTCAATACGACCAGGACGAATCTTTTATTAGACTTCGTGAGCACTTGGATGAACTTGAGAAGGGCCGACCAGAAAACCATCGCATCTTCTATATGGCACTACCGCCCAGCGTTTTCACAACGGTCTCACAGCATCTAAAGAAGAACTGTTACCCTCAGAAGGGAATTGCACGTTTGATTGTAAGTTTTAAGCAAGAGGAGTAAACTATAAATGATATGCGCAGCTGCTTATGCTTGGAATAGGTCGAGAAGCCATTCGGGAAGGACCTCCAGAGCTCCAGAGAACTCCAAAAGGCGCTTGAGCCAGACTGGAGGGAAGAGGAGATTTTCCGTATCGACCATTACCTTGGAAAAGAGATGGTTAAGAACCTACTTATCCTTAGATTCGGAAACGAATTTTTTGGCGCCACTTGGAACAGGAATCACATCGATAACGTTCAAGTAAGTAGTATAATCAATGGAGCCGTCGGTCAGGTTTCTAATCTACACAACAGATTACGTTTAAAGAGCCTTTCGGAACGGAAGGCCGTGGAGGTTACTTTGACGATTTCGGCATCATTCGCGATGTTATGCAAAATCGTTTGTTTCCTTAAAACCCGGGTTACTAAAGACCTAAGAGGCTAATAAGGAACTAGATTTGCTCCAGGTATTGACTATTATCGGAATGGAGCGTCCGATTTCCTTTTCGGCGGAAGATATTCGTGATGAGAAGGTGGGATGAACCTTCGACCTTATTGAAGCCTATCGTTAACATATTCTAGGTCCGCGTATTGAGAGGAATCCCAGCTATCGAGCCGAAGAACGTCATTATTGGCCAATATGGGAAATCGCTTGACGGCAGTAAGCCCGGATACTTGGACGATGATACCGTCCCCAAGAACAGCAGGTGCCCTACATTCTGTGCACTTGCTGTTTATATCAAGAACGAACGATGGGACGGTGTGCCATTCATTCTCAAGGCAGGAAAAGGTAATATTCATTATCCATATCACTCAACTACAATATACTCATTTTACGTCTGGAAAAGCTCTGAACGAGCAGAAGACCGAGATCAGAATCCAATTCAAGGATGTCACAAGTGGAATTTTCAAGGATATTCCTCGCAACGAGCTTGTCATCCGCGTCCAGCCCAACGAAAGTGTCTACATCAAGATGAACTCGAAGCTTCCTGGGCTTAGTATGCAGACGGCCGTGACTGAGCTAGATCTTACTTACCGACGTCGTTTCAGCGATCTAAAGATCCCAGAGGCCTATGAGGCTTTGATATTGGATGCATTGAAGGGTGATCACTCCAACTTTGTCCGTGATGATGAGTTGGATGCGAGTTGGAGGATTTTCACCCCTCTGCTACACTATCTTGATGAGAATAAGGAGATTATTCCCATGGAATACCCATATGGTAAGATAGCAACTCAAATTCTGTGTGACAATCAATTGACAAAATGTAGGATCGCGTGGTCCGGCTGTGTTGGACGATTTCACCGCTTCGTATGGGTACAAGTTCAACGACCTGGCAGGTTATCAATGGCCCGTTCAAAGCACTGTACCCAACAAGCTCTAGACCATGATATGATCATTGTACTATGTGATACGATATAAACTTTTCTTGCAATAGTCCAGCAGTCTACTTCGCAAGACTTTATGGGGCTTTTTGGACGTGTTGGTGGTTGTTTTGAATTCCCTTTCACTTGTTACAAATATCTCTTGCGGGTTTCGGTTTTTCGCTGTTCGTTCGAATCTTTGTCTTTCCGCCAAGTTTCTTCTTTCTTCTTCGTAAGGTGCTTAAAAGATCTATTCGTTCTTGCTAAAAAAAAACATGCACCCAAATAATCGTTGGCCAAGACAATGACGTAGTGTGTATTGGTTACCCGACCGAGGTGACTTTCCGCGCATGGAGTACTAGGGGAAAGGCACAGCACCATTGAAGCTGACGTCTCCTGAAACGCATGCTCAAGGATTGCCAACACGAGCCACAGTAGATTTTGTTTATATAATTCTCGTCCCCTTATACTTTGTTGCTGTCTGTCTGTTTCTCTCGATATCGGAAGAAGCCCCTCTTTTTGATACCTGTATCTACATTTTTCGTGCCCAATCAGCAATCAGTTTGATCTTCACTTGGTTCGATTCAACTTGATTCAACCTCTATACCGGACACCTCAAACTTAGTGTCCGTACTTTGATGGCAGCGACATGGGGTGGTGCTCCATCTATCAGAGGTCCCACCGATTCAGTGCGGATGATACTATTGACGATATGGTTGGTGGCCCCACCCGCAGATATATCCTTAGATCATCAGATGGAGGCCATACTAATATTTCAAAGCCTAACTGGTGTTCAATTAGTATGGAGTGTTGAGATGTCATGTTAGTTTACCCCTAGAAGTTAATCTTTGATATCATTGGCCAGTAAGGCTAGCTTAGTACACTCACAGTATGCTATTTTTAGAGCTGTAGCTTTTGGATTATTTTTCTTATATTTATGACATTAGTTTATACGATTGGATTGCTGATCAAATGTATGCTTTATAGATTGTGCCCCTTACCTCTTGTCACTCGGTCTGACCAAATCCCTTATGAGTCTGGTTTGGATCGTGGGACCTATGGCTGGGCTCACACAACCCGTAGTTGGTGCCATTGCCGATAGGTCACGGTCACGGTGGGGTATTATCACCCTTTGAACTTTACATGTATTCAAGTTGGTAACTAAATATATGTAGGAAGGAGGCGACCATTAATGGTTATCGGGAGTGTCGTCGTTGCAGTTGCACTACTAATTTTGGGCTGGACTAGAGAGATCAGTACATTTTTCTTCGGAGAAGGCGATGCAGTTAGTTATCCTATTTGGCCTAATATTCTGGGGATTTACAGCACTGACCTATTCCAAAGACCAATACTATTGTTATTATTCTTGCAATTATGGCACTAGCTTTGGTGGATTTTGCTGTGAATGCCGGTTAGTCACGATCGAATTTATAGTTTATCTGAAGAAATCTATTAACAAGGAGAATTTGGTCTACAGTGCAGGCATGTTGTAGAGCACTTATTGTTGATACTCTCCCGATTCCTCAGCAACAACACGGAAGTGCATGGGGTAAGTCTCTGGATTTACTCTTTCTCTTCGTAATTTACTCATGATTTCGAAGCTAGTAGGATGATCGCAGTCGGCAACATTGCTGGCTATTTTGCGTAAATTTTCCTAATTAGTTAGACAATGAATGGGATAATCTAATGTAATTTTACAGGGGCACAGTCGACCTTAAGGCGATATTTGGTACTTCTTTGGGTGATAGTCAGTTTAAACAACTCATGGGCCTTGCCGCATTTTGGCTGTTGTTCTGCATCCTTGTCACCTGTTTTTGCGTAGATGAAAGAGTACTTTTGAATAGACGGTGATATTTCTAACCCAGCTCGTTCTTCTGCCGTTATCTAATACATTCATATCATTCTTCGGTTTTAGGAGCTCCGATGAGAAATCATCCACCATTCAAGTATTTGTCCTGATATGGAGAACCTCGTGGCATCTTCCAAAAGGTATCTGGGATATGTGTGTAGTTTTGTTTTGGGCATGGATAGGTAAGTGGCATTCAAATCGTCAAGATTCAGTGCATTTTTAACAGATCTTAAGGCTGGTTTCCATTCATGGTTTATAGCACAACATTCGTGGGTGAGGTCCTCAAACGATATGATGCGGCAGCTCAAGAAAGTTTGCAATCGTCTACGGATGTTGTCGGCGATATTGCAAGAGTCGGTAGTATGGCATTGGTTATGTTCTCAGTCGTATCTTTGCTCTCATCGATCTTGCTGCCCTGGGTGGTGACATCCCCAGAATCTGATGAATTTCGCCAGAAAAATCCTGGGAACGGTTCACTGGCCAATTTTCTAGAATCCATGATACCTTTCAAACCAAGTTTAGCAACTGCATGGATTGGTGGGCATATCATGTATGCGTCATTAATGCTAATGACGTTGTTTGTGTCAACTGTGAATTTGGCAATGCTCTTTGTTGCCCTCAGTGGAGTGTGAGTGTACTATTGGAAACTGTTAATTGTACGGTCACGGCTGACTTAAATATAGGGCCTGGTCTTTAATGACTTGGGTAAGTTATTTCGTTCTATCGTTTTTATATCCAATGCCTATCCTAATAGAGTGAAGGCTCCTTTTAGTATTGTTGGGGAAGAGATTAATCGACTCAATATTTGTGGGCCGGCCAACAGTTATCGTCCTCAGAGATTAAGTGGAGCATATGGGCCTCTAAACCATCACCGGAATTTCGAATATGATGAAGACGTAGAGATGGAGGAAGCGACAGAAAACCCTATACCTAGTGATACCACTCTAACAACAGTGAATCCAGAAGTCGGTTCTGATGACCTTGCAGGAGTTTAGTGAGTCAATAATTTATACATTTATTTCCATTGAGAAGTACAGCTGACAGTGATAGTCTCGGAATTCTGAATGTGTTTGCATGTCTGCCGCAATTTGTCGGTTCATTTATATCTTTTGTTGTATTTTCAATACTGGAGCCGGGACTAAGTCCCGAATTCACGGAAGGAGATGTCGGGCCTCCAAGGGTCGGTATAAATGCTATTGCGGTTTGTATGGGTATCGGCGGAATTTCTACTTTAGTTGCAGCGCATTATACTTTAAGGTTTAAACATCGTTAGTAGAGAGTGGAAGGTAGGGTAGATGGATGATTAGAAAGTTTGTGATGGTAAATAGAGTGGTAATATTATTATTTGTTTCGGGTTCTAACTAGAAACTACACGCCCACTAGGAGGCAGCTAGCACCTTATCCCTTAACCCGTCAATTGCTGACCCCGGTGATATAGGGGTTGAATTTATATGGGGGATCTATTATTTGATAAGAAAGATAAGAAGATCTGTTAGTAAAGCCACACCAAATTTGCTTTTTTTTTTTGGTGGGTCAGCATTTTGGTGACGGTTTAAGGGATACAATAGTTGCCCTCCGCTATCCCTTGGACGCGTGAGACATTTGGAGAATCTCTCATGCATTAGCGTGCCCTACCTAGGAAACGATTTACTATAATAAAGCAGCAACTTGCGAAGTTTTTGGCATCTCTGAGTATTCCGAAGACCGATAAATGCAGCAAACTGCTTACCCGGACGTTTTCTCAGCCAAATTCTAGATCACATGACTGCCAATTCCCGCTAATGCATGAGAGAGATTCTCCAAATGTCTCACGCGTCCAAGGGATACCGAATGCCAAAAAAGCCACAAATCTGCTGTAACGAACGGGTTTGGTAATCCGAATCTGAATTTCACATAGAATCATACCTGATTTATCAAACGAGAAAGTTTGGAATATGCAGGTTCGTTATCAGTAGTAGCATGGGGGAGGGGGAGGTCCCCCACGTAGCTGCTGAAGTATGTGTAGGTATATAGTACAGTCGCCCTCCGCTATAACGAACGTGTATATTGGCCATTTTTCGTTCGGTACAGCAGATTATTCGGTATTATTCGGCATAGCAGACTAAATTCTTTGCTGAAACAAAAAGAAGCTGGCCCAAGTGGTACGCTACAGCAAATATTCGGTATAGTGGCATTCGTTACATCGGAGGGCGACTGTATACAGTATTGCTCTTACGGACCCATATTACATACAGGGATCCCTTCCTCTCTCTGTTCATGCGAAAACTGAGACATAGCGCAGAAGGGATACCAAATGTGAGATCGTGGTGGGTGTTCCTGATCGTCATGTAAACCTGCCAAGGGGTACCCGGTCCAGTGACTAAGCCGCAAAAAAAAAAGTCGGGAGCTTCCACTTCACATAACAGGAATAAACCCCTCAAACAATTTAGGAAGGGGATTGAGGCACACGTTTTCAGTGACGACAAGCTTTCAGACATTAGAGGAGATTCTTTTGTTTCTGGAGATATGATTACTATCAGTGAGTTTCCTGTGATTGGTGTACCTAATTGCACCTATAACGTCGTGAATCGTTTGCTAAATCTAGTGTTTCTAAAGAGGTTCCTTGCTCCTCAGCCAACATTGGTACGAATAGGAACCCGTCCTCTGATTTCTTCTGAGGAATAAGTCCTATGGGAAGGTATACCAAAATTGATCTTTTTTTAGGTCCCGGTTTCGACGTAGTTGGTCTATCCCTCTCCATCTGGCTCGAGCTTCAAGTCACAATTAAGGCCACGACCACCTCTTCGCACCCCGTCAATTGCCAAATTACATACGAAGGCGAAGGCGCCGATCACGTCCCGTTAAATGCAGAGCACAATCTTATCACCCGCACTGCGCTCTACGTCCTGAAATGTCACTCGAAACGTGCTTTCCCGAGCGAAACACATGTGCATATCGTTAACCCAATCCCACTCGGTCGTGGTCTCGGTTCTTCTGGTGCGGCTGTTGTTGCAGGTGTGCTGCTCGGCAATGCGGTTGGCGAACTCGGTCTCAGTAAAGATAGAATGATGGACTATTGCCTGATGATTGAACGCCATCCAGACAACGTTATGGCAGCCATGTATGGTGGATTCGTAGGCAGCTATCTAAAGGAACTCGACCCTGCGGACATGGAGCGAAAAGAGATACCGCTGGCAGAGGTCCTGCCGGAGCCTGCTGGAGGTGTGGATACGGGCTTGAAACCCCCCGAGCCACCACTCGGGATTGGACACTATATAAAGTTTGGTTGGGCGCGGGAGATCAAGGCAATTGCTATTATCCCTCAATTTGAGGTTTCTACTGCGACAGCCAGAAGTGTGCTGCCAGTGAATTATAGCAGAGCAGATTTGGTGAGTGAATTTCTTAGTGAGTGATGGCATAAGTGAGTAGTAGAGATGCTGAACCTTCATAGATTTTTAATCTGCAAAGACTTGCGGTACTTACCACAGCGCTGACCAGGTCTCCCCCTGATGCGGAACTCATCTTCCAAGCCATGCAGGATAAGGTACATCAGCCGTACCGTAAAGGGCTGGTATGTCTTCATTCTTTTGAATATCTAGCTGTGTTTTAGAGACTAAAAGCTTAGATCCCCGGGCTACCTGGAATCCTGGCTTCAGTTACTCCCCAGTCCCACCCGGGTCTCCTCGGGATTTGTCTCTCAGGAGCTGGCCCCACCATATTGGCGCTGGCCACCGAAAACTTTGAGAACATCGCGAATGAGATTCTGACAAAGTTCAAGCAAGATGGGATCACTTGTGACTGGAAGGTGTTGGAGCCTGCTTATGACGGTGCCCAGGTCATAAATTCATGATCATTTTATCATTGACCCACGTCTAAGGTTTGTATAAAAAAAAATAGAGGTTTATGCCTCCAGTCGGGGCGGATACGCGACAGGGTATAATTAGTGAATTAAGAAGTAAGCATGACTACTATGCGGCCGCAGCATCTCGTGCACATTCCTTGATACAATAAAAAAGAAATTCACAACAACCCTCATTTTAGTCATTTCCACCTTGAGATCATCTTACCTAGACAATACTGCAGATATCCTAAGCGCTAAATCAAGGATCTGTAAGTGCTCATCAGAGCCATCTGCTAGGCGCTTGTCAACTTCGGAGAAGATCAAGACGATATCGTTCTTCTGCGCTGCCGTTACAATGTCGTCGAAGATTAATTTATTGTACATCTACCAAAAACGTTTCTAGTTAGAGATCTCTAAACAGCCATCGATAATTCAGGGTAAACGAACCTGCAATACAATCTGACTCGCACTCCACCCGTCTGCGATGATATCCTGGACTAGCTTGGATATTTGCGGGTATGCACTGATGCCCTTCTTAGGTTCGCATGCCTTTAACAACTCTTCGACTGTTGCATCTGGTATTACACCTGCAATCTCCTCAATTGACCGAACAGTGACGGGTTCACCGGCTGTTACAACAATTCCATCGTTTCCCATCTCCTCATCTCCATCATTGTCCACCACTGCATGCTTAATCGGGTTATGTAGTCGCGCCGCCGACTGTAGGTAAGTGATGGCCTTTCGTAGGTCACCATCTGAAACCCGAATCAGTGCGTCGATAACGCCATCCTCGTAATCAACACCCTCGGCTTTTGCGATTAACTCTAGCCTCTCCCTAGAATTGGTTTCGTCTAAGGGCTTGAATCGGAACTTTGAGCATCTAGAAGCAAGGGGATCGATGATCCTCGTGACATAGTTGCAGATTAAACAGAACCTGGTTATTTTGGAATATGTCTCCATTGTACGTCGAAGAGCCGACTGTGCATCCTGAGTCATGGAATCTGCCTCATCTAAGATAATAATCTTATAGGGAGGGCACGGGTAGGCGGAAGATTGAGATGTAGTTGCATTTGAGACGGTTATTCGAGCGAAATTTTTGACTTTTTCACGTACAATTGAAATACCGCGCTCGTCAGAGGCGTTGAGTTCAAGGACACGAGTTTTCATGAGATCTGGGCCATAGAGTTCCTTTGCGAGAGCGAGAATCGTAGATGTCTTTCCTGTGCCTGGTGGGCCATAGAAGAGCATGTGAGGAAGCTGTAGAATGTTAGATGTAAGTGGAATTGGGGATATTTGCGGCACTGACATTCGAGGATTGGAGGGTACGTTTAAGCACTGTGATTGTGTGATCCTGGGCAGTGACATCACTGAGATTTTTGGGGCGACTGGATGGTGTTAGAGGGTGGCTTTTCGCGTTTGATATTTCTGCAAAAATGGATAACTTGCTATTTTTCGACCCAGGGAACAGGTCTACTAGGGTCCTTTAATTTGGTGGAGGGAATAGCATTGCTCTGTGCAGTGGCAGCAGCAGCTCTTCGGGCGGCGACATCAAAGAAGGAACTCATGGGGGCTGGTGTTGTGGAGAAGAGTTATGGGTCGAGAAGAGTATGAAATAGTTTGCTCTAGGAATTTTCTGGCCGAGTATGTAGTAGACGCGTTCGAAAATGGTGCGCGTTAAACACCGCCAAGTCGCCCCCCCACAAGCTATCAATTGCTCTTGACTCAGCCGACGGAACTCTCCTGACACTTGGGCCATTCACGGTGTATCACTCAACCACTCAGCACTTAAGGGCCAACAGTACTATTCTTCTCTTCTCTGCTTTGTGTTATCATTGATATTACCCCTCACGCCTCTGCTTCTCTAAGAACAATCCACCCACTCTGAGTTTACTCACCTCCTCCCATCCCTCACTTCTTATGATTCAATGAGCGATGCCGCAGATCCACAACCCCCAGCAGCTACCCTTCCGGGGGAGAATCGGGAGAGCAACGATGTGCGCTACTCAAAGCTACTGAAGCAAAAGCGGGGGGAGTTCCTAGATCATCTGCTCAGAAGCTTAGATATGATCGCCTATTGCCATTTCTCATATTTGTATTTCTTAGAGTAATTATTATCCGCCCCTGCCTTTCTGCTTCCAGAAGAGGAAGCAAGGAGCAGAGCTGAACTCATAGGAACACAGTTGTAGTCTGTTTAGATTCATTATCCGTTCAGCAATTCAACTTAACTTCCTCACACCAAAGCCTCCGAATTTTCCTGTGCATTCTCAGCGCCGCCCAGCCATTGTCGCGCTGTTTGGCAGTACAGCATTTTGTTTTCTGTGCCATGTTCTTGGAGCCGCGCCGAGCGCTGGAGAGCTAAGCAATGGCTATTTACATGGCGGATTTATTATAGACTTTATCGGGCAAGGTTTGTAGTACTTTATTCTTTTCGAAATTTTGAAGCCTTGCTTAGACTGAGATGGCTGTACAGAGGGCCCAATCTCAAAATGGAGACTTGGTTTTATGGACGCTATAATACTATCCTTACAGGTCGTTATGTTGAGCCTCGTGGTTTCAAAACAAGATCAAGAGGCCGCGGATATGATTACTGAGGGACGGAGAAATATCACCCCTGCACAAGATTTGGAGTCGGAAGAGCGAGGGGAGATACGTCGACACTCGTTTGCCTCATTGAATTCCAACCGCTCTAGCAATTTATCAGAGGCACGAAGGCCAGATGAGACCCCATTGATGGATAGTGATGAACACACAATCGGTATAATAGTGGATGAGAGTAGCGAATCCGAGCGGGAGAGGCTACGAAGGGTCTTTGAGCTCACCTCAGGGGAGTTTGTAGCTGCGGAGCTCAAGGTTGTGGAGGTAATTCAACAACAGTGGCGTAAAACTAACGTTCCAACTGGAGGAGGAGGGGTCGGGAGTACAGCCTCTGGAGGGAGCTCGAGAGACAGAAGACGTCTATAAAGTCAACAGAACAAGTGGTTTTGGGCGTCTTCTACTCTTATTTACTTCTATAGTAATATATTAAAAATGTTCGTGCTTGCTTTGGCGTTTCATGGTTAGGCAGTCCATTGGATTTCTGATTTGTTGACGGGGGAGGAACTTAGTGGACCGTACTATAGGCAATGCTCTAAATGGACAATCTCCTATATTAAATGGGAACTCTGCCTTGACGATGCCCCATTACACTCAAGTCTCGGCGCGGTGCGGGCTGTGTATCTACATGTAGTACATGGAGTTCGGGTTGTTTGGAGTAGGATTCATGGCAGCCAGGGGAACTAACCCTAATTGCCACATCAGTCTCTCGTTCTTTCCTTTCCATGTGTTTATTAGACCCAATCCTAGATACAAGTATGTATCTATATCGGCATTTTGAGAGAAGTTTATTACAGTATGTAGATGTACTTGTCGGAGTTTTTATACTACAAGACTAAGGCCGCATCGGGCCAACACGCTGCACGCCGCGCCTGAGAAGTGCTGGCACCCCCGAGCCAAACTCACGAGGCGATCACCTCTGCTCTGAAACCCTCATATTCGAGACAACTGTCAGAGAGAGCTCTATTGTGGTCATACCTATCAATAAGTTGAGTATGCGCGAGTGCCATGGTTGTTGGGCTACGACTCAATATAGTAGGTGCCAGTACTTTTCGAGTGCGACTGTACTCGTTTACCACGAAAAGAACCAGGGATAGTTTGTATGAGAGATCACCGCCACTCCATACAAATAATCCTTGCCCTGAGCAACTGCATTTTCTGGTTCTTTTCGTGAGATCTGCCGAGAGCACTTCTGGCGGCAGCTAGATACAGCAGCACGATATTGCATAATCGTACTGTAGAATGCTCGAAGGTATTTGTACAAATATAATTGAATATTATTTTACCAGACAAATCATACTCCACGTTTTTTTTTTTAAACAAAACAAAACAAAACGACAATGTGAATGAAGAGGATCAGCAAGAGACTAAAATCATTCGCTTATTTCAGTATTTCCAGACTCACGTGACCTCAAAACATATTCTCTATGTCTTGGCTTTTTCTTGACAACCAAAGGGTCGTAAGACATACATACAGCCAGTCATGCTCTCTTGAAGACAAAAGGTCAAAGGATTTTACAACACAAGGCTGGGGATAACAAGGGGCGAAAGCGAGGCTGGCATTTGCACCCACAACAACCTACACATGTATTGATGCGCCATGGATCCTACGAAATCTTGGCACTAGTATCCTCGATTATGTAGTTGTGACTGTTATTCAAGTCCCCGGTGCCACGATGTTCAGTTGCCCTAGTCTTGGCAGCACACACACACGAGAACAGCCCAAGCTGTATCACGAAATAATCAGTATCAACAACACACGATCGAGCCTACAGTAACGACCGACCGCCCAGCAACTCCGCCAACAACCCGATATTTGATCCACGGCAAATTTTCTTCAGTATGTGACCATTTTTCTGGAGTGGACTTGAGTTGGGAACGGGTTTGAAGGGTCAAAGAGAGACTAATGAGGCTACATATTTTATAGCAACAAAATGCCTGAATCCAACCACCGATGTATGTCTAGTTCTTGATCCTGACACTTACCTCGAGCATATACAAGAGAATTACACTAACCAACCCGACATAGTGTACGTTAAGGTAATTGGTTTTTCATCCCGAACCCCTCCTTGATATTACACTCTACACTCATAATTCAATTGTTTCCGGATTACGCCATGAAGTTGATGTGTGGTAAAGGGCTTTGGCGTGTTGGGGATTGAGAGGGAACCAAAGAGACGGGTGCTCCCCAATGAGTTGTGGGCAGCATTGCCATGGTGTCCGGAGAGTTAAACGGGATTCTCGAGAATATGGTTATGGGAGGCATACATGGGGACAGAATAGACGACTAATGGCAAGTTGTGGGCAATAGGGAAAGCACCTTTCATACCAGAGGGGCAAGCGCAACACCAACCCTAACACCTCCCTCATCAAGATTGAGGGCGCCGACAATCAAAAGGATGCCACTTTCTACTGCGGTGCGTTATTGATGGCGCATATACCAGAAAATGAGGTTCTATCTTTGGGTTGAGTACTGATGAGATATGGGGATTATAGGGAAGAAAGTAGCCTTTGTCTACAGGGCCTCGAAGGAAATCCGTGGAACCAAAATCAGAGTCATCTGGGGCAAGGTCACCAGGCCACATGGAAACAGCGGTGTTGTTCGCGCCAAGTACGATATTCCATCAAGTATTGCCATGTTCACAGAATAGCTAACATAATACGCTTATGTTTACAGGTTCCGCCACAACCTCCCCCCTAAATCCTTCGGTGCCTCCGTCCGTATCATGCTGTACCCTTCAAACATCTAAAGCGCGAATGGGAGTGTACTGTGTGTAATATGCGAACATTAAAAAAATTCAAATAGATCGGGATCGCGGTCTTTCCTGTTGGTCTAAAATCTACGTGCATATGTCAAAAAGGGAAACATGCTGGAGTTCTTCGCGGGGCAAATATCCCGGTTTTTTTTCTTTCTTTTTTGTGTGTGGGCTGGTCGGGTTTAAGTTACTACAGTAATCCTTTTGTAGCAAATTTATCTTGTACGAAGAATTATTTTCGCCCTCCCCTCAAAATGCTTTCATCTTGGCAAGCAGTTCAAGGAAGGTGGTAGGCTAGATAGTGCTTTCCGCCTGAGTGTCATGATTTCCATATTTTTTTTCTCTTGTTATTGTTTGAATCTATATAAATCTTGAACCTTCATCAAATCCCCGCCAGCGCCCTTTTTGAGACGTATTATTCCATTCTCCCTTCGTGCCTATTGATCGTTCATCTCCACTCCGATTTCCATTCGGGAATCTTGACTTTTGTGATCTTAATTCCGCTGCTGGAGGATGCTCTTCACCTCCTTGCCGTCGAAACCCATTCTGGTACGGTTTTGCTGCAATCATTCTTGCTTCCGGTCGTCCTCCGTACTCATTTATTTCAGAACCAGCTTTTTGTTGCAAGCCTTGCCCACTTTTCAAAACATTCACTAGTCGTTTAGCCCGATTTCCCCCAGCAATGTACGGGCCTTGCCGATGTTGATGCGCTACTCTTGTATCCCTCTCGTCTTTATCTCCCGGTGATTTCCCATGATTCGAGCCACTCCTGACTTGTTTCCCCGATAATTCGGGCCGCAATCTCCCCGGGTCAGGTCCGCGCTCCGACCCGGATCTCGGGCGTAGAGTACTTTTGCTATTTACCTTTTGACTAATTGCGATAAATTTATCGATCGCGACCCCAATCTCCCCTTTCAGATCACTCCACGCAGTGACAACGCTATCCATTGTGACTGAGAAGGACAGTGTGCCCACCAATCGTTCCCGGCCGTTCCCAGCATAATTTTCTGCAACCCTCAGCGACTCCCCCTCCCTTCCATAACCCTTAACCCTCAGGATCTCATACACTGCCTCACGAACTCTGCGAACTGCTTTATTGCGAACAACAGAGTTCTTTGAAACGTTCTTCTTCGTTGCTAGAGCGGTGATAATCAATCGAGGTTCATTCGTCTCTTCGGCCTTGATCCGTTCAAGAACTCTCTGGTTGAGAGGATGATGGGGGTTCGAAACAACACTAGGGTCGACCAAAACTATAGGAGTGAGGCTGTGCAATAAGGTGAAACTCTTGCTGGTAAAGAAAGGCCGAAGACCTTTGTAGACTGAGCCCATTATGCCTGACGGTTGATTGGGGTGAAGAAAATATGAGGTTCAAATTTTCATTTAGTTGTTAGTACCTTAGGCAGTCAGTCCAAATCAAAATCGTGGCTGAACGCGATGTGGCCTAACGTTCTCCATTAAACGCCGCCACTGTTTGTTCTCTCATGATCATTGACCCTGTACATACTACGTGAATAAAGTATTTATCAAACCACGCTGTCTAATTAAGTTTGGTTCAAGACAATCATGGAGGAAGTGCAGTTTTTATAACTAGTGGAGTCTTTGTGTAAGTGCTTTTGTGAGTACCTTTTGCCTCGAACAAGTTTAGTTGTTACAAGTGGAATGCGGCCTGCGGCCGTAAATTTATATATAGTGGGCGAATAGAAGCTTTCAGCGTCGTTATCTAGTCTGAGTACTTACTAAGAGTGATTGGGTGAGAAAGTGTGTTTGCCTTTAGGTCTTTAGGACATGCAGCGGCACGCCCAGTCCATGATCCATTCCTAGGTGAATAACAGAATCGGTCGGGTCCAGTCTGATCGTGTAATCATTGTATTATGTGAGTAATTCTACAGTTATATCAATTCTTCCTTCTAAATGAGCTGGCTCGCGAACCCTCCTCGCTCGCACGAGTTCTACCTGCCAGTGTTTGCCCTTTCGATGCCAGCTCCCTTCCCAGTATTCCCGGGTCCTATTTCGGGAACAGTTCTTTGTCTGTACATATATATGTGCTTCTATATGTGGTATGCAGACCATACATTCTAACCAATACAAATGCTTCATGATGATAATGAAGAAGCTTATACTGTTTAGAAGTATTATGGGTTGACAAAGTTCTCGTAATTTTGTACAAGGATAGGGCGTGAAGCGGCTATAACTCGACAACCACAAAAGATATAGAGGATATAATTATATGGTGAAAGAGCTGAAGATTGATATAAAATATGAATTCCGGTTATCCGCTTTGTGAATTAGGATTTCGAGCAGTTTCACCTGGTTGCTATGCGAAAGTCACGAGAACTTTTGTCAACCCACAATATTTTGCCAACCCTAAACTCAAAACCACGACGAAACCCCCCAAGAAGGATTCCATAGAGTCGCGTAGCCTTATATCTAGGTACCTACAATTTGAAATAGTATTATTGAATATCACAAGGGCCCCACTGTTTCTATAGATGTGGCAAGGGTCTTCACCGATAGTGCCCAGGGCTAATGATCTTTTGGGTATCGGGTATCTAACTCTGCACGGAGATTTTTCAGTAGATTCTTCATTCTATAGCCGAATCTCCAGATCCCCTTATGAGGGTATCTGATAAAGAATAAACTCCCTGTAAAGGTACAATTCCTCGGCTCTTATTGGATTCTTTTTAAGTACAAATTGACTTGCTATACAGGTACACGCCCCGCAAGGGTACTGCCCCGAGCGTGCCCATAGGCTGCACTGTACGTATTATATGTGTATGTATCTTCAATATTCGCCTGCTTGACGTATTTATATTTTTTGGTACATGCCTTCTATTAACATATTGTAGCAGTTATCGAATTACACCGTCGTTGCTGGAGGTGCTACAGCAGCCATCGACCCACATTTCCCGCAAGTCCTCAAATCCTCACTGTCCTTAAATTTATTGACAGCTTCTTTGATCTGCGTCCCAAGGTTTGTGCAGTGAAAAGCAGCTTCATGAACAATCTCATTACATGACGGGCAGTACCAACGGAGTCTATCAAGGCTCTCTGCTGGTCGCTTCTGCTCGATGACGATACCAACCTAAATATAATGTTAATAATTTGCTTTTAAACGATCCAAATAGAGTATAAGGAGGGGGGCTACCGTATTTGCAAACCGGACGGGATTGTGAGGTGTATTCGCTGTGGCAAAATTAGAAGGAAGAAATGAAACGTTAATATCGTACTTAAACCCGATCACAAAAGCGACCCATCTATTGTCGGAATTTAAAATAGTAGCGGAATTGGCTACTTACGGGGAAGGACAAACATCTCTCCTTCATCAATAAAGATATCCTTGAACTCTCCCTCATCGACAACCTTCAACAACATAGCGCCCTTATATTGGTAGAACCATTCTGGGGTCTCGTTGATGTGATAATCATTGCGGGCATTTGGTCCTCCGACAATCTTTTGCTAGTCAGTAACGGACATTAACTTGAGACACTCGGAGACTGACCATGACGGTCATATGTTCATCGTAAACACAGTAGTTGTTAATTGGAGGTTGAAGCAGGTGGCTGTTCTCCTTGAGCCTATATGCGATGATTAATAGCAGAACACCCGATAAATAAAACATAGACACGAACTGACCATTTGGGGATGTTTAAGGGCTGTGAAAGCGGCATGATCTTATAGTTCTGGAGTTTTGGGAGATAGATGTTGAGCAAATGCCTCAGGCTATGATATCGAGCTGATTCTGTGCATGCAACTCCTCATTGCAACCCTGCAACGTCAGCGGAGCCGCATCTAGCAGCTAGCTGGCAGATGGTTTACTAAATCACGAGCTAAATTCACTTCATTTAAGCAGTGCACCTATCGCATTAATTCGAATGGACAACTAGTCACACAAGACGTCGAAGTTGCCAGCCAGTATGAGGAGGGATTAGACGCAATCCTGGGGGGTATGGTTAAACTGGGGGTACGACCAACTCCTCAAGGGCTTCTAGTAAAACAGCACTTTTGGCGGCTCCTGATAATTAAAAACGGTGTCGGGCAGGTTTAGACGTGCGGGTTAGCCGAATTAGGCGCCCGAAGGAAAACGTAGCGCTAGTGTTTGTGAAACTATGTAGGTACATGTGTCCGAATCACGGACTTCCTCTAGCTAGCTCTTTGTTTTCTTCTAGACTACATCATCAATACATGCTCCTGTTTATCTGTCGAAATTGACTCTCTCGTATTCGTATCGTCGACAAAGAAGAGATAGACAACAGACGGTTCAGGAATTTAGATGAAATTAGGGCCCGTTTGGCAGTTATCAAGGTGTCGAGGTGTCGAAACTCCGTTTTGTGGCTGCTCTGTTAGGAGAGGATAAACGGAGCTTTTTCAAAATGGAGTTTGGATTTATTTGGGTTGCCAAACACCTGATTGTTAATGGTTGTGCAAGAGCGAAACGGAGCTGAAAAGTAGGTACCCCCTACTTTTCAAAAACTCCGTTTCAACACCTTAATGGAGTTACAAAATTAGCTGCCCGAACACAAACTTTTATGCCAAATGGAGTTTTGAAGAAAATGAAATGGAGTTAGACCGTGTGCACCTGTGCCGAGCATGTACCTGTGCCGAGCACCTTATAATAAAGGCAGCATTTTAGCCACCATTTGGAGTGGATCCCTAGAGATCAGATAAGATGCTCGGCACAGGTACATTCTCGGCACAGGTGCACACGGTCTATGTGGTTGCCATACAAATCCTCCTCGGGACTTGTGGCAATTCGTGGCTCACCCACAAAATCTACTGCCTAGCTGAAAGCGGCGGTCGGCGGTGCAAAATTGTCTCCACTCGTCACGCAAAAATCCTCAATCGAGTAGTGCTTTAAACAATCGTCGTTAGATTTTGGTTGATCACGACGCCAATAGGGATACCAGGATTGCGTCTAGGGGGCGTATTTAATAAAGACAAGTGACCAAATACGGGAATTTCAGCGTCTTGTGTGACCGGCCGTCTGTACGAACTAATGCGGTATGCGTACTATCCCTTGGACGCGTGAGACATTTGCGAAATCTCTCTCATGCATAAATATCATGTGATCTCGAAATTTGGGTGAGGAAACGTCAGGGTTAGCTGTTCGCTGCGTTTTCCAGTACTTGTAGTACGCCTATATGCCAAAAACTTCGCAGGTCGCTGCCTTATTTCAGTCAATCACTTCCTGAATAGATCACGCTAATGCATGAGAGAGATTTCGCAAGTGTCTCACACGCCCAAGGGATAGCATTGTATCTATCTACATCACTTTTTTTTTAGCACCAATTGAGGGTATTTGCGCAAAATAGAGCGCAATCGAATACCTATGTAGGTACATGCTGTACTCTATGTATGTATGTGCTTACCCGGCCTTATATTAGTTCGAGCGCATGTTTCACATGTATTGTTGTACGCGAGCTTCCATCGCGATATTTATTCCCCTCCAGCTCTGTCACAAACATAAAGCTCCCGTGCTTAACTATCTCAAAAAAAAAAAAAAAAGTCAAATATTATCAGAAAATGGATCATATGATGGCAGAACACGACATGAGTGGGCATGATATGATGGCTTCAAATCATCGCTGTCAGATGAGCATGCTATTCACCTGGAATACCGAGAACCTTTGCTTGGTAAGTTTATCAGTATGAAAATCCTCGTTTAAAAGTCTGTAAAGTCCTTAATGTATCGACAGGTTTTCCGCTGGTGGCACGTCTCGAATACCTTTACTTTAATTCTCTCCCTTCTCGGTGTGGTTGCGCTCTCAGCCGGATATGAGTTTGTCCGCGAGATCTCTCGTCGTTATGAGGCACGCGTTGACGCCGAAAACGCGAGTCTTAGCACATCTGGTACGTAATTTTCCAAACCTAAACCATAAGCATTGAACGTCACGGTTTGCCTCTGACTTTGTAAGATGAATCGAGCTCATTGCTACCAGGGAGGAATATAACATCTGCATCTAAGAGAGGTCATATTGGAAAAGCGATTTTTTACGGTATTCAGGTTTTTTATTCGTTTTTCATAATGTGAGTCTCTCTAAAGAGTTCGAATAAAGTAAATTTGCATAGATCGCTGATTAAGCCCCCTCTCAAGGCTTTTATTTATGACTTACAACGGATGGGTGATGATCGCAGTGGCTGTGGGAGCTTCACTGGGATACACTATCTGGGGCGGTGCCTCGGCCACAAAGTCTGTTGCGTGCCATTAGAACTGTCCCTGAACGAACCAGTCATGATATGAACTGCATTCTTCTACATGAGGACAGTATTTACTTTTGTTGGTTTGGAAGTGGGGTTTGAATGCTTAGTAAAGTGAGGTCGATAAATGGCAATCTCCGATAATCCTTTTTGTTCTCATTTCAATATACAAGAGATATACTCGCGTCTAGGATAAAGAACCAGATCATGCAAATGCCTAGTTTGTATGGCAGCTCAGCGCCACTCCATACAAATAATCCCTGCTTTCTCACTTGCATGTTCTGGTTCTTTTTCCCTGACGCGAGTATGTATCTGTGAGATTCAATCTAAACCTAGGCTCATTTACGCCAAGAAATCGGGTTCTTAAGAGTAGGGGTTTAATCTACCCTTCCGGATAAGAATTGGGTGTAGAATACCCTCGGGTTTAGTCCACCCTTGGGATTGTACACACATTTAATCCTTTCCGGCGGGTTGGTTTATCGCTACTCTGTAATTGAGTCCCTGTATACAACTATTTGTGTGTATTAAGGAATTGCTCGTAGGTGAGAACGCTATGACTACATGTAGTGATTCCACATCATAGGTGGATAGGATTACATATTAATTAAACCTTTATTCGCTTATTAACTCACCTATCCTGGCGGCGATTTCTTATTAATCCTTTTTAACTTCTGAGAGAATTAACCATTGGTATCCAGTATGGTTAGTAAATACTTCGTTTCTTCCAGGTCTTAGGAGGATATGCCATCTTAAGAACCTAGAGATACCGCGATAACCATTGAGGGAGGAGCGAAGATGACCTAGCTATGGGACTAGAGATATATATTTAGATAGTTAAATACTAATCTGTTTTTCTGAGCGCGTTTAGTCAACTACATCTAAATCTATACATCCCCTATAATATTAAGGCCGCGTCCCGGCAATCGCCATTTCAGATATTGTGAGGTTACGACCCGCCAATGTAGCAATGGAAGATGTCAGGATCGCAACCTGGCAGAAATAAAATTTTAGGGCGTGTTCTGCTACCCATAACACATCAAGCCTTCAGAAGCCGCAATGGTGTTTCAATGAATGTAAATTCATGTGAATGAGAGCTCTAGCAATACAATAGTTGGGGTTGGTGGATTTGGTTGAATATTTTGGTCTGAGCAGAATATTTTAGATCGTGATATTGGGGCTCTAATAGGATGGCAAATATCCACATATTGTGCCAAGAAGGCCGAATATCGTGATATTCGTTGCAACAGGACGCGGCCTAAATGTCAGGACGAAAATAATTGTGTAAATGACGGGTAGAGCCGAAGACCTACCCATTCCCATACGTCCCAAGCTCTGCGGAAGGGATACGGCTGGCAACGTCGAAAGAGTTAATGGACACGGAGGTAGTGAACCCTCACAAAGGAACGACTCTCAGTCCACTCTCTGCACAAAGGGGTGATCAGTACTCTTTAGCGAGGACAACTATAAATACATGTATGTAGGTACAGCGCGAGGTAAAAAGTGAAGGCTGGCAACCAAAAATACACCAAAATTAGCTTAAACAGAACGAAAACACACATCCCAATTGCGATCGGGAATAAACAAGGCTTTATAGAGTAAGACTTTGGGTACCAAATTTAATATATCTAAAAGGACACTCTCTCAGGTCAGATATGAAAGAAAGTACATGAGCTAGAAGTAGAGCAATTTGGAGATTCAGCTACATCACATACAAATATGTGGTCTTGGCGTGTTTTTTGGCAACTCAACACAATAAAATCAACATAGCTCATGCTAGAGGAATAATAGTTTAATTTTGAGCTGATAAGTCAATTCTTGACATGCAAGAAATATACTTCTCCAATTCTCGGAGATTATTTATGATAATTGGTGGTCTAGGGCCACGTTGAAAAGTAGCATTTTTGGTGTAAAATGGGTGCCCAGCCTTCACTTTTTACCTCGCGCTGTACATATGGGAGTAATTATGGAGGCCGTTAAGTGCTGACACCGGGCCAACCCTTAGTATAAAGTAATATGGTATATGCTCTGGTCTGATCACGAAGACTGACTATCCACGAATCGTCGTGGGAGGACCGGTCTATAGACTGGACACTTCATGAATGGCGTATTCTCAGATTGACGGTCCACCTACAAATATTCCCTTCGCAGGGGCAAGACGTACGTCCTTCTCAATCTCAACTCTCTTTGCTCAATATTCCTGACTATTCTTTTTACATAATCCCGCCACCGTATTCTCTCATTAATACATACAGCCATGCTATTCTGCATTACTACATAGTCTACTCAGACTTTGAACAAATTCCCCAAATAGATTACACGTCAAAGATTAGCATGTATGTCTGCCTCTAACAAATACTGAATTAGCCATAATCCTATTACCTCTAACCATATTCAAAAGCGCCGACCCCGAAATCATCTCACGAATATTCATGGAAGGACGGTCAATGCAATTGGGACCTAGCCTATCCTGGAATATTCGAGATTGGACCAGTTCGATCGTGGATTGGTAATTTTCGTCAATTGATCAACTGACCAGAGCATATTCCGCTAATTAGACCCAGACTCGGCGCCCTCGGCGTTAAATGGAGTCTAACTATGATAGAGGGAAATGGTACCATGGTCAAGGGAGAAGTTAAGAGAGCCGATAGGCCGGAGAATATAGGCTCTGTAAGATAGAAACGAGTTTTGGAAAAGGCCCTTGGTATTATCTACCGGTGCATCCCTAGTGGCACATCTAATAAGTATATAATTATAACCTGCATATGCAATGTACTTTTATAGACTTCTGATTGGTTCATTGAGAGAGGTTTTGTTTCACTTGAAACATGTTGTGTTGGGCATTAACATAGGGTATTAGTTGTACTGAGTGGTGTTAGATTGTTAACAGGTTTTCTATATACTGGTTCTGGGAGTCGATTAGTAGTTCGGCTTGGTGGCTATTAAAGGGATATACTTGCAGCTTGAACTGCAGAAATTGTCTAACCTATCCACTGATATATGGGGGATATCAGAAAAGGCAAATATCGACCAGAGCAGATCTAGATATAGTGATGGACTTTGCCTATATATTGGACTGATTGATACACATATAGTACCGGCCGAAGGCCGGAAACTACTTGTATTATAGTATAACAAATAAATAAATCCCTAAGTATTTCCCCATTTGTCGGCGGAATCGCTTGAATGCATGGTGGTGGCGGTGGTAGTTTGAGCAGGTGAAACTCACTGAATACCTCTATATTTGGGTAATACTTAGTTTTGTTTCATCAATTGAAAACAAAAGAATATATGTAGCCATGTGATCACTGCATTCAATTGCACAGACCTTAACACCCGCAGATATAGTTTTTACGGAAAAGACAAATTATGGAAAACTGTAGCACACTGTGTATAACTATCAGATGGTAAATATAGTTAAAAGATATACATAAATTAGTAAAAGAATAAAATGTATGAGAACCGATCCTTTAGACTTGCACTTGTTCCTTATTAAAATACCAATAAATCCACCACGAAAGGCGACGGCTATTATACTTATAGCATCGAAGCGACATCCACTCAAATCCAGCCACCATTACCATCGCTCTGAACACCAGAATCGGTAAACGGCTTTTCGTGCTTAAGGATAGGCACGATTAACCTGTAAGGCTTTGTATGTCCAGACGGATCCTTTTGATTTATCTCCATCCTCAAAATGACATCTAAGGCATCTGTCTTAGTTTCCATAATCTCCTTCGAGCCTCTATCACCATTCTCCCGATTTAACCCAACAAGATTAACGTTGACGTCTGGGTCAGTCTTTTGGGATTTTTTGAATGTGTTCTTTCTAAGTTTGGAAAAGGTTGAACGTTTGGTGGGCTTCGTTTCATCGGAAACACTGCCATCTTCAACGTACTCTCTGATCACGGCGTAATTTCTCCCTGGGAATTCGGCGTTTAGTAATACATACAGCAAATATTTCATTATTTCATTACATACTTGGTAGGAGTCGTTTGTTATTTCGGGGTTTCCCGTCGACATCAGTGTCGAAGATTGGGTACATGTCCTCGTCCGTATGGTTATTCAAGTGATGAATTTTATTTCTCTTGTTGAGCACATCGGCCATAGCTACAATAATAACATATTAGAAGGTGATCACCAATTAGGAAATATTGCACTGCACTAACCGTTTGGGGGTGGGGTGTTTACAATTGCCGAGGAAATGATGTTTGGCATGTATCGATGATCGTTTTCACGAAGGATGCTTAATCGCTGGTTTGAATAAAATTGGCCAATCCCAGCAAGATGGACATCCCCCCTGTTATATGTTAGATCAAACAATCAACCTAAATGATTTGGAAGGGAGTACCCGAGAATTGTGACACGAACTGATTTCTCTGCTGCAAGATGTTGCAGTTTCTCGATGAACTAAACACTATCATGAGTACGGTTTTTCGAGTAATGGAAAGGAGACGGACCCAATTTCTTTCGACCTTGTGGTCCTTGGCCGTCCAGTGGTCATCGAGATCATCCAAAAGCTCAACGCCTCCTATATGGGGTTAGCTTCATTTAACTAACGTCTAAGGGAGATAAGGACCGTCAAAATTATTAAGAAAACCGCCAAGATATCCCATACGGCCTAGCGCTTTCAAAGGGTCCATAAGTCGTGAAGTCATGCTAGTAGATCGTTAGCTTGGGTTGCATCCCATTTCAATGATTACATACAGATTTTCGAGCCAGACAAGCCTAGGGTATGCAATAGGAATTCCTAAGAGCACAATCAGATGTTTTGTTTCTCCTCTGATGATTTCTTTTTCGAGTCGCTCAAACACCCTATTGTAGGTACTCTCGGATAGAACAAGGTCTCTCTGGAAAAGGTGTCAATTATGCCCAAAACAATCCGCATAAGATAGAGCGCGCACCATTCTCTCAGTTCTACAATCCAAGCCTAGGAATGCAACTTTCCTCCCAAGAAACATGAAGCAGCTTCTGCTCAGTTCAGCGATGTACGGACCCGGAGCAGCACCAAGCAGCCAGCTAGGCTCATTTCCCTCTAGCTCATCTACAATGCTTTGGTGTTGAAATAAAAGGTAGTACTTGAAAGCTACTGCGCCTAGTCCTTTGAATACGGGACAGCGGTTGAAGTGGTCAGGATAAGAGCCAAATCCATCAATTATATCATGGTCATCCCAGATGTTTATCATGGGAATTTGAGCATTTGCAACTCCAAAAAGCCCCTGAGAGAACCACATGCCTACAAAAAAGCAATTAATGTTAAGAATCTTCACCATTAATATATTCCACAGAGGACTCACAATATCTTTCCAAATAAAATTCTTCAAGTTCATCAGCCATAGAATCAGTAAACGCACTGTGGTTTTTATGAATCGGGTTTTTGATAGCGAGCCACTCTTTGAAGAGCTTCGTTTTCTTTGAGACTGCATCGTTATAAACTGTGCTCTCATGTGTCAACGTAAACTCAAATTTTATTATCTGCCTACAAGAACCTACGTTGATCACCACCACCAAGCATGACATGGAAAGGTTTCTTCTCATGTTCGCGTATAACATCCCTCCACAAAGGATCTGGGCCGCAGAAATCAGCGGGGTTAACGCTCAAACTAAAACCGTTGCAGCTGTAAAACATAATATTCATTGTCTCTGTCCTCGATGGAACCCAAAAAGAGTTCACAGGGCCATGATTGATGCGGTATGCAATTCTTGCTTGTTCATCACCCAATTCTACCTCAATGGTAAACCTCCAGAAGGTAATACCCCTTTCCGAATGTAGTTTGGTGCCTTCGACCTCCCTGTATTTGCCTAATATTTCGCCGTCCTTTCTATTTTTTAGGTTCTAAAGCTTCATCAATACACATTCATTGGGGGATACGTAGCGATACTCCAGGGAGTGTTTTGCTGTAGGATCTTACATTATTCAAGTCTTCTGTGTCAGCGGCTGAAGTGTTTGTGGTTTCCGTGCGATTATTAGTATCTGTCATGACCGAACTGAGTGCTGGCTGAACAAATAATCGGATGCGTGGAACTGTAGTATAATCGGACTGATCATCCGTGGTAACAATCATGACTGATCCACGCCATGTCTCCCTCTCATCTTTCGCGCTGGATTCGTTTGATTGTTTCCCATCTCTACGTAATCCCGTATACCGCAGCAACGGCCCACATTTGACATGAAGTGGGGGTGAATATGTTGTAGGCGCAGGGGTTGCACGACGTTTTATAGCCGCGATAAATGAGAATATCAACTCATCTTTTTTTTCTTCTTTAGTTCGAGCCATACGCGTAGGCTCTATAACGGTCACAGGGCGGAAGGAGTTGACAGATGAGATGGGCTTAGCAGGGATGTTTTTGGGTTCAGATATTTGGTTATCGGTGATATCTTCAGCAGTAAAAAAATCACGAGAATCATTATGAGAAGTATTTCCAGCTCTAGGTGCTTTTGTATTTCTTAGCATATTGGAATCGGAAGAGAAAGGAGGCGAAACAGCTGGGTATCAAGTATCGAGAGGGGTATATTCAATAATGATTATGACGTATTCTTATAGAAATCCTCATACCGTCATCTTTAGTAGCATCCCCTCCGCTTAGGGACTGATAACCAAACTCTCGGTCCTCGATAGTCAAATGAGCCACCTTAACATCAAAGACATCTTTCCCACCAGCCGCTCGTGTGATTCGAGTATGATCACCTTTATTACTTTTAGTCCCACTGCTGCTTGTTCGCCTTAGATGCTGGAATCGATATCCTTGGTAAGACTTTCGCCCAATTCGGTCACGGCCAGAAATTTGAGCAGGGGAAAGCTTTGTGACTGATTGGGGCTTCCCTAGTGCATCGGCATTGGGGGGTGAATTGCGACGGCCATCTTCACTTTTAACTTCGGAGGGGCTACTTCCTAATAACTGGGCCATCCTGTGACTTCGGTGTTGGTGACTTTCATCCCCAATGGGATATGTATTAATTGGCGAAGGAACAGGAGGGCTGGCAGTGAGCCTTGACGTGATAGTAGTACTTCGTTGAAGTCGCTCTTCCTGCCTTTTACTGAGGGAACGCCCAACTCCAGGTGCGTCGAACTCTTCCTTGCTGATATGCTTTAGTTCAAGCTCGAGGTTCTGCAGTGGGGAACGGTCAGAGGCAAAGCCGATTGAGCGAGTAGAAGTCGCGTCAGATGGCTTTCGCAAAGAATTGGAATGGGAAGCAGGTGATATTGCTGAGAACGGCATTAAATTAGCTCTGATCACTTCGGAAGACTCAGGTGGATAACTCTGCGACGGCAAGTAAACATTGGCCATATCCTGCGCTACGCGGGATTCCTTTCGGTCAGCCAGCGCGACAGGTGGATGTTCTTTTTTTCTTTTAGAATGATATATGAGCAGGTCTGACTAGCTTTCAGTAAACAGACTAAATCGCAAGCAAGGACAGAGCAGGACAAGCAGTAAGAGTATGTTTAAGTAAAGAGGGAAGCGAATAACAGCCAGCGGGTTTAGGTCAATAAGGCAAGCTTCTGGCATCTTGAGCTGAAACCGTAATGTGATAAATGTGCTTAGGACATCGGCATTTATGCATGCTTTAACCGATAGGGGTGAAGAAGCCACAGCTGGGCCTTTGAGGTTGCCACCCACTCTTATCGATAACGTACCTGCATACAAAAAATTACTCCCAAAATGCTGGTTGGTCGACTGTTTCGTCTGATTGTTGTATGTACAGCCACTCAGCAAAAGTGTTCGTGATATAGTTTTAATGTCAGTGCGCAGTGTGGCGCACCCGTAATACTGATGTTATTAAAGTTGAGATTCAAAATAACGAAAAATATATAATATAGTTTGTGACTATATATAAAAAGAAGATAGGCCATTGATCTTATTCTTCATTAATTTGGGCGCCATTGGTCACTGGGAAAGTCTTCTTTTTGGGGGTTCTTGATGGTCTGCGCGGTTACATATGGAGAAATGTCTCACTCCGAAATCGGAATCACGAACACTTTTGCAGAGTAGCTGTAGATACGATGTAAGTACATGTAGGTACTTACCCATTTCCGAAGCTGGCCAAAGGGAGCTGTTGTGGGAATTGGTTTCAACTTCTACACCGACTAACGACACCTGCATGATATACATGGAACAGAATAGAGATACCCTCACATCAGATTACAGCAGCGCACAAATACCTGTGCATGTAGTACGTACATGTATGTATGTACAGCTTTTTGTATAAAAGGATATATGTACATGTATGTGCTGTACTGGTGAGTCGAAAGGGGAGGAGGAGGACTGATTTGTCGATATGTATTGTGCTAATGCACAGCTGTATAGGAACGAAATTGAGGGATACATGTACTTACAAGTATGTACAGCGGTAGGTAATAAGTGATGGAACGCTCTGAGATACAGTTATACCTGCAAACACCGTATGTTGGTGGTGTTTTACCCAAAACAGGTATCACTGTGTCTCAGAGCGTTCCATCACTTATTACCTACCGCTATACATGAATTTATTACATATGACCATGGTAAAAGTACAAGTACCCTCGAGAGGTCAGTCTGACGAGATACATGTACATGTATTAATTTCAGGTTCAATACATGTACACCTGTTAGGTTGTGGTGTCACATTAATCTTCACGTCGACATTGAACATGTCGCAATGGCTGTTGTATTCTCAGACAGCTAGGGAAATGAAAGCTATTATAGAATGACACCGATTTGAACCATGAAGAATACTGAGAACGTCTTCTGCGGTGGGGATATATAGTTCGAAGTATACTGGATAAAGCTACTGTAGTGGATGGTTTGTCAATAAAGGTATTCCGGAGTATGACAAGAAAATAACGCGGGAAGCGAGGCGTGAAGATATATGTAGATTGAATACATGTAGTCTCACATTCGCTCCCTTAATATTTGTGTACATTTCTTACTCTATGTAGCTGTGCGTGAAGTGGAGTAGAGATATATATGTACATATGTAGCCCTAGTAATGGTGTATGTACGTATGGCAAAGACCCACAGAATTATCATGTACATGTACCGGGCGTTGAGGGTAAATACGAAGAATCTGATAAGGGAATCTTGCTGTGAAATAGGTGTGTTTATCTTATCAGATTCTCGGTATTTATGGTTGACCCCGGTACATGTATGTTTGTTGAGAATACATGTACAGCGCCGGACAGTCAAAATCAACCCTCATGTTCTTTTCAAGCCAGAAACTAGTCCTAATCGGGTAATAATGATCATCTAATTATCCCAATATGGTAAGAATTATCCCAAATTGATGTGGCCGCCTTGGCATAAAGCTATTAAAGTTATTATTTCACACCTATGTTTTTTTCGGGCAGATTGCACCAAATGTTTGAGGGGTCATAGTGCAGCCAGTTCTTAATTATTTTAAATCCCCTTTTATGGGGATGTTTACAACTATGATTAGACCCATTTTACAAAAGAACATTATTTCTGGACAAGTGTTGCGTTGTTGAAAGTCGATGGGGTGAAGGGGAGTCGGTGGTTGCTCTGGCCGGCTGGTTTTGGCTGTCCGACACCGTACCTAGAGTACTCGTATCTTCCTGATGTTTTTTCAACTGGGCCACTATTGCATACACCAAAAACCAGCTTGGCGCATTTTTGTATGATATGCAATATTGGTCGCATCCACAAACGTTAGGGAAATACATGTATGTACGAGTATGCATGTGGACAGCCCTACTATTTGGTTAAGAACCCATGTGCTGATCACAAACAGCCACAAAACTGCTGCGCCTCACCTAATATTACATACTGCCACGGGTTCTTTGTCGCATTCAGTATGGTAGGTGTTTTACCAATACCTATAGTTACCTCGTCTTCCCACCTCAAGTCTTCCAAAAATCAGAACCGAATACCAAATTTGCCCGAAGCCGGCCTTTAAGCACCTGTACGTTTCAACAAAAACCGTACCAACCTGGATACTCAAAACTTTATACTAAGAAGCTAAGCCTATCGACATCTAGCCCCTTTCTGGACTCGGCCATACCCTCGCAACGCTCACATTACGTCGGACCAACATCTGCCTTGAGTCTATCGACGGTGCTTTGTTCCATATATTTTCTTCGGTACCTTCGCTTCTCTAGGCCCACGCGGTGCCCAATAACCTACCTGATTCCGTTAAGAACTATACCTGGCCACAGCGGCCGCCGACACCGCGATGTACTTCGATGCTACCTATATTGGACTCGCCATTCTGCTCGCCAACCTTGGACTTGGGACGGCCAAAAAATTGCACTTGAAGCCTCGGGATTATGATTCTCGGGATTATTACGCGCTGCACCTAACACCAGATATATCACCAAATGACATCGCCAAACAGATTGGGCTAGAGCATGAGGGTTTAATTGGGGAGCTTGATGATCATCACCTATTTTCTGCGCCACGCGGAAAAGATGATATTGTCTCAGTTTATCTTGAAAGACGTCGGCGATTGGGAAAGAGAGATTCTGGGTCGGGTGCTATCACAAAGAGGGATGCGTCAGACACCATTTTATTTGCAGAGAAACAAAAATTAAAGAGGCTCGTAAAGCGCTCGTCGATTCCTCCCCGGCAGGAACCGAACCTCGAAACTCGCCGAAGCGAGGAAGAAGCTGGTTCAACCTCCGGTGGCCTGGATATTCAGGAGGTGGTAAAAGCGTTGGACATTAAGGACCCCATTTTCCTTGAGCAGTGGCATCTTGTAGGTGCGCCCTGCCACAGTAGACTGTAGACAAAATGCTGACATTAGCTCAGCATAATTCTCGTGAATATGGTCACGATGTTAATGTTACTGGGGTATGGATGGAAGGTATTACATCGAATTTCACTTAAAGCATGTAGAAGGCTAAGTCGATACAGGTATCACTGGTATAAACGCTACAGTAGCGATTGTAGATGATGGGTTGGACATGTATAGCGAAGATCTCAAAGCAAACTATGTAAGATTATCCTCCCCACAATCGCGTACCATTTTTAATGTATGAGTAGTTTGCGCCTGGTTCATATGACTTTAACGATCACACGGCCGAGCCTAAACCTCGTCTGTCGGATGATCGTCACGGAACGAGATGCGCTGGGGAAATAGCTGCAGTGAAGAACAATGTCTGTGGTGTCGGTGTTGCGTGGGACGCCAAGGTGGCTGGGATTCGTATACTCTCAAAGCAGATATCTGATGTTGATGAAGCTGTCGCGATGAATTACGCCTACCAAGATAACCAAATCTACTCATGTAGTTGGGGTCCTCCAGACGACGGGCAAGCGATGGACGCCCCTGGAATACTGATTAGGCGAGCGATGATAAAGGGGGTTCAGAGTGGGAGACAGGGCAAGGGCTCTATCTTCGTTTTTGCGTCCGGAAATGGCGCAGCCAATGAAGACAATTGCAATTTCGATGGTTACACGAACAGTATCTACAGCATAACCACTGGGGCCATTGACCGAACTGGCAAGCACCCGTATTACTCCGAGTTATGCTCAGCACAGATGGTCGTGACATACAGTAGTGGAAGTGGCGATGCAATTGTAAGTAGGCTGCGCTATGGACAGTCTCACTCCCGAACGCTAATAATCTCAATAGCATACTACCGATGTAGGAGTCAACGCTTGTTATGCAAACCATGGAGGTACATCTGCAGCGGCTCCTCTGGCCGCAGGAATATTTGCGTTGGTATTGTCTGTGCGCCCTGACCTTTCGTGGCGAGATCTCCAATATCTTGTGCTAGACACTGCTGTGCCTGTTAACACAGAAGACCCTGATTGGGAAACAACTGTCATCGGCAAACAATTCAATCATAAATACGGGTACGGAAAGCTTGATGCTTGGGCGATTGTCCAAGCTGCGAAAGTCTTCAAATCTGTAAAACCTCAGGCATGGTTTAAATCACCGGTGTTGGCTGTCAATCATGCCATCCCCGAGGGCCAAAAGGGCTTGCAAACTGAGATTAAAATAACCGCAGACGATCTCAAGAAGGCCAATCTTGAAAGACTTGAACACGTAACAGTGACGATGAATGCTAAGCATGGTAGAAGGGGGGAGATGAGCGTTGATTTAATTTCTCCTAGTGGACTTGTTAGTCACATAGCCACACAGAGAAAATTTGACAAAAGCAAAGAAGGATATAAAGATTGGACTTTTATGAGTGTTAAGCATTGGTATGTTCAAATCATAATCTTAAATTCATCTCTAAACTTCCATGAAACTATTGGCGGCCTCTTTACTATTTAACATAAACCTAATTTATCGGTCGACTAGGGGTGAGGATGGTGTTGGAACCTGGACTGTCATTATCAAGGATGGCATG